AATTTCCGACTTCAACTTTCAAACTCATCCTTTTTCCCTTCTACAATCCGACTTTGGAACCAATTAGACCTAGACATAAGACAAAGAGTTTCACATACAGCGTTTGTGTTACATGTTCCAAATTATTATCTGATTGGCGAAAGAAAACTTAATATTTTATATACCAGATTAAGAAACAGAGCTACTTCCTTAAATAATGATCTATTCCATGCAAATATAATAAATTTCCGACACTGTCAATGTGGTCATCAAATTGAAGAGACTTATCACTTCTTTTTTGAAATAAAATATATCGTGAACTAAACTATTTCATTTGTCTGGACCTGCAGCTGATACTTTTTGGTAGTTTGGAATTAAACCAACAGGAAAATGAAATAATATTTCAACACACTCGGCAATACATTCTAGATTCACATAGATTTTGAGAACGATACCCCCCATACACACACACACACACACACACACATACACACAACCCCCCACCCTTCACTTTTCTACAGACATTGTACGCTCTTGGTATTAATTTGATCTATGTTGGTAATTTATTAGTCGACAATCTTTTTATCTTAAATGTTGAAGAGTCGTGTTTCTGGTCTTCCCCGATACGAACGGCCCTCAAGAAACGAAATTACCTGAAGGAATGGAACTTACAAGGAGAAGGCAACAGAGGCACGGGAAGTGATGAACATTAGAAAAGCAGAGTGTTATGAATAGTGGACAGTGTTACTAGTGCCGTCTGTGTCGGAAAAGATCACTACCACGATCTCGCATTAAATATCTTCAAGCTATGACCCCCTCCCTCTCTCTCTCTCTCTCTCAGTAACATTAATCTTAATTGAAACTATGGCTTTACATAGGCTGGAGAACTTGTGCCCAATCCCTTTGAGTATTAGATGAAAATATATTTAAATCAGCAACGATTTAGCTACTTAGTGATCTATTTTTGGTTTATTATTGAAACGGTACTAGCCTAAAAGGCATATACCTACCGTCTAAAAACTCAATTAACTTCTTCTGATGCTACAATGTGGTATAAAAACGTGTATATATTTTTTGATGTATTTTTTAAAAGGTTTTTTAATTTTTACCCACATTTTTCTACTTATTGCTTATATATATTTGTACTAAATACTGATATTCGAATATATTCTGTTATGAATAAGATACTTAAATTTAAAGAAAGTATAGTCATTTTGATTTAATTGCATTTTATTCAACTAAGTTAAACCATTTGTCTATAAAAATAGGGGAGGTAACTCAAACACGCTCTGACACTTGTATTCATCATGCGTCTGCATCACACCGACTACTTTAGTTTGATACAGTAAAAACTAAAAAGCAGTTGCTTTGAAATATATAGATAACTGTATATGATATTATAAATTTGATAATATCGAAATAATTAATTAAAGTTAATTAAATGTTTCTACGAAAAAGAAAGATGTTTAGTGGCATATTCGAAAGTCGATGGCAGAAGTATACCACAATAAAGGTGTATATTTTTATTTTGCGGTAAAAGAAATGAGTCATTCACATGTTTATTGCTTTTGGCTTGTATATGAATCCAACTGATTCGTTTAATTATTTGTTATTTTTTATCGAATTTACTTGATGTGCATCTGGGAAAAAACAGTTATTTTTTACACAAACATATACGTTTTATGTGTCCCTGGTTGACCTAAATATAATAAATGAAATAAATATTATGAATTGTTGAATGAGAATTGAACATTCTTATAATGCTGCGATGTAAAAGATTGATTTATGATTTCAATTTTCCAAAATCCAATAACACTATTCTTGTGTAAAAATGAACTGACCACAAATATGTCATAGTGTTTTTTTGTGTAATCCTGTTTTAGTTAAGATGCACGTCCATTTTTTCTCTCGACTCCGTGTTTTTTATTTGTGCCAAAAAATGACAACCCCTATCCTAAAAGAATAGCAGTTGTGCGTATTATACGAAGATTAAAACTATTGGATGATTGTTTTACAGGTGATTAAAGATGTGGAGAAAGAGAACAATATTTTCAATAAAATAACAAAAATTATTATACGAAATCAGGACTCTGTTTTCACTTCCACACTCAACTCACTAAGTGCTCGTTTCAGAAACAAAGATATTCAAATTGAAAAAAAAATATGCAGCGCTTGAATGTGAGAATTTCCACACACGATTTTGTAGGTTTATTCTCTGAGTTCATAAAAAGTGCTAACATTTTGCTGTTCTAACTGAACTAGGTAGATTCCCCCTCTATTTTGATATGGTAAATAAAATGGTTAGCTTTTGGTATCGTTTTAGAAAATTTGTACGTGTAAATTGTTGATCAAATCACATTATCATCATTATTGGTGTTTATTACATACTTACTAATAAATACGGGTTTTTTGTATATGCGATACGACATAATTGCTCTAACCCATATCAGCCCTCGCCGTATCACACCCCAAAACCCGTATCAGCCCCCGCCGTATCACACCCCAAAACCCATATCAGCCCGCAAAACCCATATCACACCCCATTTGGAAAAAAAATCGTTTTTCAATATTTCAAAAATTAAAATAAATCATAAGATAGTAGTTTTTATTAGTAAGTATGTAATAAACAGAATAAAACACGCCTTTTTCCATATCACACCCAGTATCAGCCCTTGGGCTGATATTGCAGTCTCGGGTTGATACTGGGTGTGATATGGAAAAGGGCATGTATTATTCTCTATATATTTGGGACCTATATCATGTTTAAATCAAATTTTGGACTAGTGCAATATTTAACACTACTCTCATGTGGCCAAAGAAATAAATTATCACGATTACATGTATAGAACGTGGAAGATACACAGGTATACCAAGACATCAAAGGTTATGTAACAATTGTTCATTAGAAGAAGTAGAGGATGAGTGTTGCTTATAATACATCCGTATTAATTAACGTTTAATAACAGAATCATTGTTATATTACAGAATTATACATTTCGGTTTTCCAAGTATGAAGCAACGTAGGCAGGAAGACACATTTAGATAGGGAGGAATAAATAGGCACGTGTACGCTCCATGTTTGCCTCTTCAAGTATCTATGGACGGATATCTGTATTGAGAAGTATAAGATAAGGTTAAACATTTCGACTACTATTATTTCCCACGGGGCTATTTTCGTACTAAAGTTAAACGGATCTTTTTGTCAAAAGAGAAAATACATTCCGGATTCTTTTACAGCTTTTTTGATCGTGTTTCATCAACTTTCGATGTGAATAGGTTCATCAACTTTCGATGCGAATGAGTTGTCAATAGACTATTCATTCAATTGAAAGTAGATAATTGAAGTGTGCTGCCGTCATTTGTACTATATGAACTAGATTCAACAGCAACTTTCTGTATCTGTCATGTATGTAGCATTTTATTAAAAAGATGAACTGTCTTAATTGGACTATAGTGAATGCTTGAAAGCACAGGACATACATACAATATAATTCTATCCAGGCATGTGCGAATCGACATTTAAAATGTAAAACGTGACTCAACCCCATGGTCTAAATATTTATTTAATGCATACGGTGACATATTTGATTATTTTTTCGGGATTTCTTTATATTCGTACACTTTAAATTGATTAATGGTGCCATGTACGTACGTCACAGCTAACAGTCCGATTTTTTTAACTCCTCTATTAAAGTGTATGATTTCAATGTGTTCGTGTCATCGAGAAACACATCTAACGGAACTCAAATTAAAATCATAAAAATCAATCAGAAATTATAAATTAACACTTTGAAGCGTTGTAAAAACTGGAATAGATGACTAAATGAAATATAAATAAACAGCATGACATATGGAGTAATCCTAATGTATTTTCATACGCTTCGAAATTATTCTTTCCCTTTGGGTCGTTTACTGGACCAGGGCCATACGCTATCTTTGTGTAGATACAAAATAAACTTCTTTTTAAAACATATGTCTTCATAAATTTATCCGGGCCTGGACGTGCAATGGAATGGACAACACAACTGGGGAGGGTGGAAGTAGTTGGACTTAATGTAAGGTTTGCTTACGACAATTGTACTCTAAGTGACTTCATGCTAAGTGTTTTCTAAGTTTTTTTTTTTTTTATCATAGAAATAATCATTACAGAAGTAAGTTTTATGGAACATATCTTTCAAATTGTGCCAAAAACATCAGCGGGATTCCATCATTGAATACTATATTAGTTAAATTAATGTGATATTTTTTAATTATCAGAGTAACACAGTCATTGAAAACAGAAAAAATCAACTAAACATAATTGAAAATATAGCTCCGAGACTTAATAAACCTACTGCAGTTCATATCTGATGCAATAAAGAACAAGTCGTGTCGAGAATGAGTTTCTGTGACGTGATTAACTGAGTAACCTCTGTTGACAGTTTTGATGACGACGAGAACATCGACTGCTAATTACCTGTGTTTACTGTAACTATTAGTTACCTGTACTTCTTACATTAACTATTTATAAAAAGTACTGTAAAATCACGGATTCGTGACTGATTAGCACTGTTTAACTATTAGGTGTCTCGGTACAAATTACACACTTAGTACCTCTCACGTTGATACACGCTGTTAACATCTTGTCTCAATCCAAGTTGTGACGAAAAGGTACTGAAAGAGATGACCCAGTGGTCAGAGAAAAACACCCTTTAATTTTCATGTCACCCCTTTCTTGTGTGTGAAATCCTACAAACACATGTTATAACGCGAATTGCTCAATTATCTACCTCTTACAAACAAACTTATAACTTAACAAGTCATCTCTCTTAAAATGTCTAACCTGTATTCCAGAACGATTGTACATGTTAGGAAGGCAATGTGTTCTGTCCTGTCCCTATATATGGACACCCAGATGTTTTGTTTAAATAGCAGTTGCTATTTCTGCTAAACAATCCCATTTAAGGTAAGCGTAACAACTGGTGAACCCGTTGCAGGCATAATGTCCGGTTCGGGTGCTGTAATGGGTGGCTTCATCGATCATGGTGCTACAGCCTCCATCACGCATACGTACATTACACAGACGGAGGCACGTTCTTAAATTGCCTTAGCTGTTAGGGCGATAAAACCTAAATCCAAAATTCAAATCAAACTAATCTTTACAAAAAAACAAAAAAAACAACTTTATAACTTGACTCTCCCAGTTATCTCCCTTACAGTGTGTCATTTCTTACAAAAAAACTTTCAAAACTTGTCTGTGTTTTCTCCTCGTGTGAGCGTTATATCTGTAAAACTCATGTCATGATTAACATGTTGTCCCCCAGGGTTTTCTCGTCTGCCTTGCATTAAAATCTCTTATGATAATTTTAACTCTCCATTGTTTAAACGTAACTTGACTTTCCCTGCTTTATTTTTTTCTATTCAAGTGGGTGCTGTCCTCTTCAACGACGCGCAAGCCCTTACTCCAATGAACTATTCCACAGCCCTGGAGTCAGAGCTCCGGTCCGGTCTGTTTTCCAAATACGAGGTACTCCAGCGTCCTTCACAGAAAGTAAGAGTTAGGGTGTCCATCACACTTCTGACCATCAACGAACTGGTGAGTGACCATTGTCCGTGTGAGTTATAGTGTAGTACCCTAACTAATTAATATTTAATAAAATAACTTAATACGGATAAGTAATACATTAAAGAATTTGAACACTATTTGATAATTGTTTAGGTAGCAGTGATTGTTAATTTTGTGCCTATCTTCAAATATTTGTTCATAAAAATGTAAAACCAATGTTACAGAAAGTGACATATTGTAATTTCTATTTATAGGCGAACTACATTGTGTAACAACGTACCTTAGTGTGATTGCTATTTATTTTATTATCACAGATTTTAATGTATTATTGCGTGTGTGAATGCTTTTGGTCGTATGCCGGTATAGTTTAATGTGATTGATGTTCAGCCAAAGGGTACCATTGTTCCAGTAACAGTTGTGTAATAGACAAGACGATTTCCTTTTCGGAGCTGTTTTTAATAGTCTACCTTGTATATTTCGTCTTTTCGTATTGCAGAGTTATCTGCTCTTGATAGCAGGTATTGATTGTTACGTCATTTGTTTGTGAGAGTAACCTCATATTTTTTTTCTCACACAAACTAATGACGTAATAATTAATACCTGCTCACAGGAGCAGATAACTCTGCAATACGAAAAGACGGAATAGAAGATAGATCTAACTAAATGTTGCTTCTGGGTTGAAATGGTTAACCTTGGCGAGGTATTCGTCTTTCATCTTGTTACATTAACAATTCATGGAAAGCAACATTGGTATTCTCCAAGGGATTCCTTTATTTTGGTTTTCAAGTAAGTAAAGATTGAACAACTGTTATTCTTCAAAATGTGTCGTAAGATGTGTTTTTACATGGAAATGGAAACATCTGTAGAAACTAATTTAAACAAGTCGTGTTTACATCGTACAAGTTTGTAAAATCAATGACTTAAACAAATTTTTACATATTAATTTGATGGTATCGTTTACATTAATATACACATGGTTTCTTACGGATAGAGAAGATGTTTTGTGAAGAGCAGATATAAATTAATCACAGGTAGATCTATGCTGATACTTTATCAATTATGGACTTTTGATGAGGTGAATATGTGTTCAAATGAACATGAAAAGGATATATCGACATGGACGAAGTCGAGGTCAATATACATAATTATATATATAACTTTTCAGGTCCATATATCAACATATTCACCGAAAAAAGTCCTTAGTTACTATATCAGATATATAATTATGCTGTTTTTAATTATTAAATAAAATAAGGAACGTTATGAAATCGTGAAGAGAAAAAGCGGTGCATTTGGCAAAAGGCATTGTGACGTTATAATTGAAGTGACGTCATAAAGGAAATATTAACCTTCCGTTTCTTAAAAAGGTGACTCCGAGTCAATATCACAATCACCGACCTCCATGGGATTATCATCAAACCCATGAGAATTTATACATAAGTTGTGTCATCTAATAGTATGAAATGTGGCCTTATCACGTACCTGTATTGTCATTACAGAACATCAAAGACCAGGCGCTGTCCATCACCGCTTACTTTACACTGGTATGTACAAATGTATATTACAGCGGTTCACAACGAATTACTTATGTTTACCTATCCAGACTTGGTTCAATTCAAATTCGAAAACGAAATCAAATTTGGTTGAATTTTCTTATTGAAGTTTAAAAATTAACTAACCTGATCTAAAAGAAATATGTAATAAAACCCTTAAACCTTTCCTTTTATAGTCATGGATGGACTCGCGTTTGTCATGGGCGTCCAATGTGACCTACAGCAACATCATGTTCTTGTTTAGCACGGAGACCTATGTATGGAGGCCCTCTCTCATCATCGATAACGCGTGAGTATAGCCGTTGTTTACTATACGTATGGAGCCCTATGCATGTAGGCCCTCTCTCATCATCGATAACGCGTGAGTATAGCCATTGTTTACTATACGTATGGAGACCTATGCATGTAGGCCCCCTCTCATCATCGATATATAAGTATGGAGACCTATGTATGTAGGCATCTCTCATCAGCGATAACGCGTGAGTATAGCCGTTGTTTACTATACGTATGGAGACCTATCCATGTAGGCCCTCTCTCATCATCGATAACGCGTGAGTATAGCCATTGTTTACTATACGTATGGAGACCTATGCATGTAGGCCCCCTCTCATCATCGATATATAAGTATGGAGACCTTTGCATGTAGGCCCTCTCTCATCATCGATATATAAGCATGGAGACCTATGTATGGAGGCCCTCTCTCATCATCGATAAGGCGTGAGTAAATCCTTTGTTTACTTTACTTTAAGTACGTATTGAGATTTATGTATGTAGACCCTCTTACCTAATCGATATTACGTGAGTATATTCGTTAAGTAGTGCACGGAAACCTATGTATGGAAGCACTCTCTCAACATCGATATTGTTTGAGCATAGTCGTTGTTTACTATAAAAATGGATCAATAAAGAATGGGACACTCACTCATCATCGATAACGCGTGAGTATAGTAGTTGTTTATGGACTAACATCATTAGTTTGCACACTATGGACACATTCAGTAATCTTACGCTGTTATCCAACGAACCTTGTCAAGAACGTGTTTATTGTATCCATAATTTCCTTGTGTATCATTTAAAGTCTCGTGGTATAAATGCTCGTTGAGATACTTTTTTTGCTTTGGTGGTGGTCATGGTGACTTGCCCTAACGTCATACATGTCACTAAGAACATGATATAATTACACGTTACGGTCAAATCACGTTTCTGTGATTAAAAGCATCATCGAAAATCCACAAGGAATGTTCTCCTTTCAATAATTGAAGACTCGGCAATCAGTGCGGAAACCAACCCATATAACAGGCCATAAACCCCATACATCTTTGTACTGTATAAGGTTAGCCTCTACGCCTCCTGGCGAGATTTAATTGATTATAACTACACATGCCAGTGGCTATATTACCGAATCATGTACATCACACATTAACGATTTATGGCTAAATATAGGAAAACTTAGTGTCAAATACAGCGAAATCTCAATATAATGCCCCTCGTTTCATTAGCCACCTCGCTTACGGACAGTGTGTTTCAAGTTTTCTTCTGGCTTCCTTTATAACTGTTCCTTTATACGTCTCACTACGATATTCCACTAAACCCTTTATACCGTCAATATCTACCTAGATTCATCGTTACAATGTAACGCGATTTCACTGCATGCTTAAATAATAACATATCTCTAAATGTAAAATTATTATTAAGTCATGAATTAAAACTTCGTCATCCTGTAACTATTCTTGCCTGACAAGTTGTGGCGTTGTAACGGGGTTTGGTGATATGTCGAGAGTTACATACAAAGGATTATGGTAAGGGAAAAGAGAAAGGGGGCGACGAGATAGGCTGGCGGTATACTAGCTCGCAAAGGACATAAGAACATTATTTCGATTGCCATGGTTCAACTATAAATCATAATCTTAATGTTGCATTATGAAGGCTTACACACTTTACATGTACTATTGAGGCATTACCTTTCTAGATCATTCAGATAGTTACTGATTAGTTTATTACATTTATTAAAAAATCCCGAGATTAACTGTTTAGCCTTCTCCCTCCTTTTAGTCTTACTGCGTCTTACCTTTTTAAAAAAAATCCCAAGATTAACTGTTTGGCATGCTCCCTCTCTAAACCATCCAGAGATACACTATAAAGCCTTCACTTCGGCTCTATCCTTATCTAATTACAGTTGAGTGTGATCATTCTCTAAAGCATAAAGTTATGTACTGGAGAGCCGACTTTCTTTCTTAAGCATACCTAGGTTTTCTGTCCTCCATCTCTAAAATACCCAAAGATTTTCAGCAGAACCTGTTCTCTCTATTAAACTACACATTTCTTAACTGGAAAGCCAACTTCCTCTTTGAAACATCCGAGCCTTTCTCTCTCTCTGAAAATTCCCAGGATCAACTGCAGAGCCTGTTCCTTCTTTTAAACACTTTTAAACATTTGGGTATTTTCCTGTAGCACCAACTCTTCACTAAGACATCTTTACATTTGTCATTTATTTATCTATTTGTTTAAATGGCTTTGCAAAAAATATTTCTCGCCAAAATTAAACGATATACAGTAGATACAGATTTGAATGAACTTTCTGTATCGTGTCGTTCAGGACCATGCGTACTTCTTGAACTCAAATATTTTACGTGAAATGCTTCCCAGTTTGCGTTTACTGATTTTGCATATGGATCATGATCAGACGAAACCAGAAACAGCTGTACTTCATGTACTTAAATCGATGTTTCTGCATAGCTTATTTCGAACTGTAGCTAATCTTGTTCTCGTAAGTTGACAGGTTAGAAACGATTTTGTAACACAATATAAATGTTTCAGCCAATCAAATTTTAAAGTAGATATGTGTTCCCCAATAAGTAAGCGTGTCACATTGTCCTCGATGCTTCAGGGGTTACGCTCACTTTCGCTCTCAGCACCCATGGGATATGCCATAGAAAAAATTGAAGGCACACAGCTAGCTATTTGATTGGTTTCAGGTAAAAAAAAGCCTGACCAACCACTAGGTTGATTCATGTCATTTGAATATTAGAGAGGACCAACACCAGACTTCAAAGCCAGTCAATTTTACCGCTACACGAACGCGAGGTTCTTTTGATGTACATCAAAGGATCAAACTATTCTTCTCGTCACATCCACAAGGTAGTGCACACTGAGCCTTCGATTTTGCTATGACATATTCCAGGGGTGCAGAGAGTGACTTCGAGGAAGGGGTCACATATGACGAACTCAACAAAAATCAATAATGAAATCTAAACGAAAAACAGATATAGCATCAAACTGATATGCGCTTGTCTTTATTTCTAGGGTGGACGAAATGACCGTTATGAGCGACAAGAACATACCCATCCGGATTGACTCGTCGGGAGGTCTGACCTGGAACCCCGCAGGTGTGTACACTGTGGCCTGTGATTCGGACATCACCTACTATCCTCTGGACATTCAGACGTGTACACTGTCCGTCAGCTCGTGGGGCTACACGAGCGGCGAGATTACACTTGTATATGACACTGACCACGGTCGCGGTATTGACACCACCTCCTACAGCGAGAACGGCGAGTGGTCGCTCGTCGGCTCGAACGTGGAGACGGAGGGTGAAAGTCAAACGCGAGGGTCCCAGACCTTCTCCAACGTGAAATTCAATATCGTTCTGAGGCGCAGACCACTGTTTCATCTACTCAATACGTTATTCCCTGTTTCATTGATGGCGTTTTTAAGTGCAATGGTGTTTAAGTTGCCGCCCGACTCCGGAGAGAAGATCGGGTTCTCTCTGACCGTTTTACTAGCGTACGCTGTGTACCTGACCTTGATTTCAGACAACATCCCAAGTACTTCAGTCTCCGTCTGCTACTTGTGTGAGTATAACTTTAGGCCATACACTCGTTTCGGGGGGATCTGTCAATAATCATTAAGTGGGATGTATTATACCGCATTTCATTTGATTGTGCAAGAATCCAAATTTTCACAACCCTTATAAGCCTTTAACAATGCGTACGACTTATACAAATACGACAGTGTAATATAAAACATAGCGAAAAATCCTGTATTTTTGTTTTAGTACCGGCGTGTAAATACATAAGTTTTTTCAAATTTGGTTTACTTGCTTGAGTTACATAGCGTGCATTTTGATACCGAGACCTTCGTGGCCTGTCCATCACCTTCTAAGGTAACAGCATTGAAGTTGTCATTTAGAAGGAGAAAGGAACAAATTCTTTTCTATAGAATAATTATTTATAACTACAGGTTCTTCCTTGGATGGGTAAATCATGTATATCATTCAAATGAGGCAGTAGATTCACATGTCGTTTCAAATACATTTTTACTCCAATAGACATCAGCCTGAGATCGAAATCTTCGTACACATCGACTAGAATTAACATGTACTTTTAAGTCTTTATGGAGGAAATTATCATTACTTCTTACATGCGTGTCATTGTCAAAGACACAGAAACTATGCCATGAAAATTATGATATAACTCTAGATGAAACAAAATAAAAGTAAGAGAATGTAACCCGACTAAGATTCATATGTATTTGTTGCAATGTTAACAATGTCCTATTATTGAAAATAATAAATAAATGTCATTTTTTTTTTACCTGTGTTGCTCACTGATTGTGCGGTTGTGCTTTGCAGCTATCTACCTTGCGATGATCCTGTCGTTTGGTTCTATCTCTGTGATCTGTACAATCCTGGTACTCAACTTCCACCACCGCTCCAACGAGAAGGAACCCATACCGAGGTGGCTGAAGATGTTCACATTCGCCGTTGTGGCCAGGGTCGTCTGCTGGAAAGGACATTGCTGTTGTCGGAAACGGAGCGCCTTCAGTCCTTCATCTCCAAACAATCAAGGCCATTCTTCATCTGCCAAGCATTTGGATGCTGAGATCAACGAAAAAGACGTGCCTGTGGATGACACACCGGGACAAAACGACGACGATTTTGACGAGGTGGACGATGTGACATGGAAAGACATCGCCGGGATCTTGGACAAGTTTTTCTTTTTCATTTTCATGGTGTCAATTGGTCTGTCCACCATCGTAATCTTCTCCCTGCTAATGAACAACTTCTTTGAGGCTTCGTACTAAACGAGTGGTCAAGCCGGACACATAACTGATTATACAACACAGATCTGGTCAGCAAACATGTCCTGGATATTGCTAGACATATAGACAAATGATTCCTTCTTTCTCCTTGTTGTTACCGACTAAAGGTTTGGCCATTTTCAAAGAAAAAAGTCACGAACAAGGCGTCTTAAAGTCTTTTAAATCAGTTGACGCATGCATTTTTGGCATCCATATACTGATGTTTGGTAGCTTCAGTGCCTGGCTGTGCGACCGCGCAGCAAGGATAAAAAGCCCGAGTGAATAATTTTATAGCAATCATGTGTTTTTGTGTTAAATGGTTGTATGCTACCTTATGCTGACATTCGTCTCTTTGCCCCTGAAAAGTGTTTCATAATAAGAAGCACTGAAGCTGTATTTTAAGAATCCCCGACCTACATGAGGAAAATCATTCAAGAATTCCACTGTATGGTTTTTGTAAATGCAGTAACCCCCCTTTGATTTCGTTTTGCTATTATTGTAACTCGAATGGGCCGGGTTACTGTAGCAGGCTTGCATGCATTTTTAATAATTAGATGATTTTGAGTTATAGAATAAAGTAGTACACTGATTAAATGGTTGGTAAGGGAGACAACTGTGACTAAGATAACTGATACAATGCGTAAGGTAGCAGATATATATTAAAGTATATAAATATTTATGCACTTTTAGAAATATAAATATTTTTGAAAAAATGATGTTTCTGGTATCGTTGTAATCAAATTTTGTTATCCGGAGAAAACCTTATTTGAAATGATCTATTATGGTTTATAAACGAATGAATGAAGAAGGACATTATTTTCTTTACTGGTAAGAAGATGAATTTGTAGCATAAACGAGGGACAATGACACTGTGATATAACCTTGTGAGCTGTCTTTGATTATTAAATTTTAACGTGTATACATAGAAAATAACTTATTCTCTGACGTACTGTACAATATGTGATTTTGTGACGTGAAGTATTAGATATGCTGTTGACGTGTTGTGTCATGTATGATTTTGTGACGTACTACCAATATATAATTTTGTGACTTACTACCAATATATGATTTTGTGACGTACTACCAATTAGATTTTGTGACGTGCTGCTAAATGTGTGATTTTGTGACGTAAACAATAAGTGATGTCGTGAGGTGCTGTTCAATTTTTAATTTGGTGACGTGCTTTGCTATAAAGGGTTTGTATGGCGTACTGAACAATTTTAAAACATGTTCATCGTGTAACATTGGATTCTCGGGCGTAAACAAGTTGTAATTATGTCGAAATCGTTGGAAAAGGAGGCATTTTACATTGATGAAAAATTTAATAAAACAAATAAAACTCGTTCCATCTAACTTTTATAAAAAATTGAATCTTGTTTTGAGATTCTCTCTTCGGAAACATGCTCATTTGGTGAATGGATGATATATCATATCTTCATATTTTGATGAATACGAGAAGATTGCTTTTTTCCCCCTCAAACAGTGTCTATCTAATCTAGACACATTTTAGATAACAGTTCTGTGGAAGAAGTAAGCCTTTCATTTTCATTAAACCTGTTGCTCGTCCGATATGCGTTAACATAGTAAATAGAGGGCTTCAAAGCTCCCGCACTTACCATAACGTTAAGCATCTCTAACATTGTTGTTTGAAAAATATTCCATTACTGCTGGAATAAGCGATTCCACATCAAATGTACTGTTTAACAATGACTTGTAATCTATGATATATATTAAATATTTTGCATTTTTTTAAGCATGCTGATTTTGTGAGAAAAAATAAATATTTGTTTAAATGTGTTTGTTTTTCCTGTTTATTTGATACTGGTGTAGATATTACTATATTCTAGATACGTACGTCATACATAAAACAAAAGTGTTATATTACACAGTTATACAAAGAACAGTATTCAAACCAAGTATGTTCCATATTGCATACACAACTCAGATACACTGTGTCCCAATTTTTGCAGAAACTAAAGTTTCGAAAATAACTGGTTTCATAATGGAAAAATACTTAAATTGAAGAGATGAGATTTAGCATACGAGAATGCTTCGACTAACGGGGTTCAAGTAGGTCAAAAAGTGTTAATGCAAAATTGGGGAAAAATATATAAAGATCAGTTAAGATAACAAATAGGATAAACACTTAAACGGCATATTTACGCCGATAATTGTTATCCTGACCGTTTTCAAATACTCTGGAATAATACGGATAATATACACAGCTTTCACACACAATTCTTGTTTTTGGTAGAAAAGATTGTATTTTATGTAATGAGATCTGAAATGGTTCTTAAGTAGGAAGAACCACTGTCACTTGGAAATGGCAGCCTACCTTTACCGCGAAAATAAAACTGTCACAAAAACAATACTGAATACAGTATATTTCATTGGTGACTTGATGAGAACTTGAAATACTCGACCTACACTTCTCGTAAATGACACGAAAATGGATACCTTACAAAGTATTAATGACTTAGCGTGTACTGTTATTTCCTTATACAAGGTCGATGTATATTGTGGTTTTCATTCAGCGAGCATTGTCGAGGATTCTGCGCTTTTTAACTACAATCTTATAATGACATGCTCTACCCGATACTCTTTCGGCGCTGTTCTACATCTTGATATATATATTATTTGCTTCGAAAACTCCGGTTGAGTATTAGATTTCTTTCAATTCAAATTCATCCCATCATAAATTTAGATATATCTTATATGCTTTTCGTTATGTTTTATATAAAAGATTTGACACAGAAAACAGTAGTATTTGTCGACACACTCAATTATCTGAACCATAATTAGAACTTATTTGAGCGTTTCTAAATAAGATCAGCATAGGACATAGATAATAATTTACATAAATGTGTAATGTGGCACATGTATAGTGGTTTACCACAATATCTTTTGTTTGGTGGTATATACGTACCATTCAGTGTAACACAATACCTTTTGTTTGGTGGTATATACTTACCATTCAGTGTAACGAAATTCCTTTTGTTTGGTGGTATATACTTACCATTCAGTGTAACACAATTCCTTTTGTTTGGTGGTATATACGTACCATTCAGTGTAACACAATACCTTTTGTTTGGTGGTATATACGTACCATTCAGTGTAACACAATACCTTTTGTTTGGTGGTATATACTTACCATTCAGTGTAACGAAATTCCTTTTGTTTGGTGGTATATACTTACCATTCAGTGTAACACAATTCCTTTTGTTTGGTGGTATATACGTACCATTCAGTGTAACACAATACCTTTTGTTTGGTGGTATATACGTACCATTCAGTGTAACACAATACCGTTTGTTTGGTGGTATATACGTACCATTCAGTGTACCACACTACCTTTTGTTTGGTGGTATATACTTACTATTCAGTGTACAACAATATCTTTTGTTTGGTGGTATATACTTACCATTTAGTGTACCACAATCCCTTTTGTTTGGTGGTATATACCTACCATTCAGTGTACCACAATACCTTTTGTTTGGTGGTATATACCTACCATTCAGTGGAACACAATTCCTTTTGTTTGGTGGTATATACCTACCATTCAGTGTAACACAATAACTTTTGCTTGGTGGTATATACGTACCATTCAGTGTACCACAATACCTTTTATTTGGTGGTATATACGTACCATTCAGTGTACCACAATACAATTTGTTTGGTGGTATATACTTACCATTCAGTGTACAACAATACATTTTGTTTGGTGGTATATACGTACCATTCAGTGTAACACAATACCTTTTGTTTGGTGGTATATACTTACCATTCAGTGTAACGAAATTCCTTTTGTTTGGTGGTATATACTTACCATTCAGTGTAACACAATTCCTTTTGTTTGGTGGTATATACGTACCATTCAGTGTAACACAATACCTTTTGTTTGGTGGTATATACGTACCATTCAGTGTAACACAATACCTTTTGTTTGGTGGTATATACGTACCATTCAGTGTAACACAATACCTTTTGTTTGGTGGTATATACGTACCATTCAGTGTAACAAAATTCCTTTTGTTTGGTGGTATATACTTACCATTCAGTGTAACACAATTCCTTTTGTTTGGTGGTATATACGTACCATTCAGTGTAACACAATACCTTTTGTTTGGTGGTATATACGTACCATTCAGTGTAACACAATACCGTTTGTTTGGTGGTATATACGTACCATTCAGTGTACCACACTACCTTTTGTTTGGTGGTATATACTTACTATTCAGTGTACAACAATATCTTTTGTTTGGTGGTATATACTTACCATTTAGTGTACCACAATCCCTTTTGTTTGGTGGTATATACCTACCATTCAGTGTACCACAATACCTTTTGTTTGGTGGTATATACCTACCATTCAGTGTACCACACTACCTTTTGTTTGGTGGTATTTACCTACCATTCAGTGTACCACACTACCTTTTGTTTGGTGGTATATGCTTACTATTCAGTGTACAACAATATCTTTTGTTTGGTGGTATATACTTACCATTCAGTGTACCACAATACCTTTTATTTGGTGGTATATACGTACCATTCAGTGTACCACAATACAATTTGTTTGGTGGTATATACTTACCATTTAGTGTACCACAATCCCTTTTGTGTGGTGGTATATACCTACCATTCAGTGTACCACAATACCATTTGTTTGGTGGTATATACCTACCATTTAGTGAACCACAATACCTTTTGTTTGGTGGTATATGCCTACCATTCAGTGTACCACAATACATTTTGTTTGGTGGTATATACGTACCATTCAGTGAACCACAATACAATTTGTTTGGTGGTATATACTTACCATTCAGTGGACAAGAATACATTTTGTTTGGTGGTATATACGTACCATTCAGTGTACCACAATACAATTTGTTTGGTGGTATATACTTACCATTCAGTGTAACACAATTCCTTTTGTTTGGTGGTATATACGTACCATTCAGTGTAACACAATACCTTTTATTTGGTGGTATATACGTACCATTCAGTGAACCACAATACAATTTGTTTGGTGGTATATACTTACCATTCAGTGTACAACAATACATCTTGTTTGGTGGTATATACGTACCATTCAGTGTAACACAATACCTTTTATTTGGTGGTATATACGTACCATTCAGTGTAACACAATACCTTTTATTTGGTGGTATATACGTACCATTCAGTGTAACACAATACCTTTTGTTTGGTGGTATATACCTACCATTCAGTGTACTGTTTTTTACTAGTTATTTACTAGTATTACATTATTAAAACACAACAAACCAAACTTGAAATTTGAAGTCGTTCATTTTTCAGGGGCAATAATGAATAAAGAATACCTAATTACTGAGGACAGTAATCACGTGCGTATACATATTATAGTTTTAAAATAATATCCTACAAACAACGATGGATTTTGTATTGATAAACTTGTATGACTCGTATATGTATCGCAAGTGCTTCAAAATACCCCTCTGATAGGTTTAACTGTTCTGGACATTATCTACTTCTGTAAACTTAGTTGTATTTAACAATTAGAGCACGAAGATAACTTTTTGTCACTACACATTGTAACGATATTCACAAAGGGGTATTTAAAACCGTGTCCTTATTTTTTGGGTAAACAATTGCTCTACACTCGCCGTGGAACGTTCTCGTTGTTGACGGATAGGCCGAGAGCGCTTTGACGACACACCTGTAAATTGGAAACAAAACAACCCGTGAGGCATAGTGTCACAGACCTATTTGGTCTCCATTGTCATGTTATTGTCGTAGAACTATGTATTGGAACGTGGGTATCATTTAAACAAAAAACATAACTACCACTGAAAACAAGTTTAAAGAATATGTGTCCTGCATTTCATAAATAGGAAAGAAACAACAAACGAACAGTTCATTTTGTCTGTGGAAAGAGGATGACATGATTTGAATAACTTAGCGAAATGAGACGATTTTACCTTTCAGGTAAGTAAAATTTGCTTTTATCATAAATGAAATGATATTGCATTTTCAAGTTTCAAAATATTTATTTCCCAGTAATTTACCATTAACTAGTCATCATAGGTAGGTTTTGGACCGTTTATAAAGATGTATCTCAATACATGTCGGCTTTTCGCCTTACGCAGTCTTTCACAATACATCTCCAGCACACACGTAGGCATACACACATAGTGAGATATTAGCCAGGTGGCATAGGACTAGTAGTTAGCGCCTGATAATGCAGCTCCTGCGAATTCCTCAAATTGGTATTGATTAATGTATATGCTAATTGTATTGATTGTATAAATGGTATATCTATGTACTGTAAAGCGCTTTATGGTGGCTTGTTCTACCTAGATAGGGCGCTATATCAAATGTTGTATATTATTATTATTATTATTTTCTCCGACATTGCCTCATCTATTCGTTCGTTCGTTCGTTCGTTTGTCATAAGTATCTACTACAATTAAACACATACATATAACAGTTTCCATACAAACCATGACAACCTTTTATCTCTATTATCGACCATGGTATGCCACATACATATTCTTTTTACACATATGCACAAGTATCTATTTCAAAATCGGTTGACACAAAATATCGTTTTTAGCTCTTTATTTCATATGTTTTCGAATGAGAACCCTTCTTCATACTAGAGCATTATAATTGTGGAACGAATCCCAATAAAAAGATGCATTTTTTGTCGGAATATAGTCCGTTATGAGAAATGGTCTAACTGTTCTGGCACGTCATGTATAGAAGTATATAATTTTTTTATATGGTGATTTGGCCAAAGAAAAAAAGGCACTTGTAATACATATTTCTTCTAAGTGAAATGATACTAAATATTTAAAAAATACATTTACCTTTTTTTGTACGGAACTAAATTACTGGAATTTCAATAATGAAGACGTCAGTTTTACAAAAGATTCACTTTCCCGGCTTAATTGACAAAAATGTTTAGAAAAAAACAATGAAAAATAAAACACCTATACTGTTCAAAGAATTAAATGTCCAACAGATTTATAAAAATTATTTGAATATTCATTAACATTTTATATCATTAGTTCTACTGATCCTGATTTTGAACCTGTGTCATGACATCAATGGCGCGGGAGTTGGAACCCCTCCCGTCTATTCCACAGACTTGGAGACGAGTCTGAGGACGGAACTGTTCACAGGGTACGAAGTCTTACAAAGACCGTCCAAGAAAGTCGACGTCTTCGTGACTTTTAATGTCCTAACTGTCAACGATCTGGTGAGCTTGACCACATCACATCCGCCCTAGTATCCATATAACGTACGGTACCATGCCGGCTTTCGTTTTCATAAATGCATGCCATTCCGTTTTCACGATAATATTTAACATCATAACAATATCTCCGGTTCTTTGTTCCTCCTATTACTCCAAAATAATTGAGGATTAGTTTACTGTTCATGGTATCAAAGGTGATGAAATGGATGTTTGTAACAGACCAAGCTGAACTAATGTTTGATATGACTTTTTATTCCAGGATATCAAAGACCAGTTCATGTCCATCACTGCCTATTTCGAATTGGTAAGGAAACGATACACCAACAAGGATAAGAATAAGAATATAAAGCTTTACAACATGTTAATTATATATCTAACCTGTGTTTAATATGCATAAATTAAACGATTTGGTGGGATTGAATTTCCAAACTCATCAGTGGATGGCCTTGTGTGATACAATGGACTTTTTGGCCTGTATCTGTTGGGTGCGGTAATTTAATCCAATCAAATGTTTATACATGCAGCTCCATAAACAAATTGTTTTTCTTTTCTCTTCATAATATTTATATACCGGTATATATTTTATATGTCTTTTCAATATCAAAATAAAAGGTTAGAATTCAAACCATTAGAATCAATTATAATAAAAATGAGTATTAGTAGTTGTTTCCCCTAATTTGATTATTAATTTGATAATACCAACTTGTTTATATGTGTTTGTATGTGTTCTATGTCTATGCTTGTACCACTGTCTGTTACTATGTTTGGAAAGGGCTTAAATAGGCTATGCGTGCTGCCCAATCCATTTATCCTTTGACAATAAAATTTATTGAAATACACCAACAAGGACACATATTGGTATTAATATAGTGCTAGGCATACACATTTGTATAGATAGATTCTATATTATAAGCAACTTTGTTGGTGAATTGCTGAATAAGAAAAGTATTTCTCTTGATATGTGAGTTTTCGCAAAATCCCATGATTCGAGGTTCTGTTTATTGCTATCTACAAAGTGAGTTGTTATGACTTTTTATATCACTGTGATTGTGTGTTGCAGAAATGGGAGGATGCTCGACTTTCCTGGTCCGATACTTCTTCTACAACACAGGACTTCTCCTCCGTCCAGTTTCTCTTTTCCACGGAGGAGTACGTTTGGAGACCCTCTCTCATTATTGACAACACGTACGTAAACGTCCATACTTCCGGAAGTGTAAAATTTTGAGTAATATTTACAGTAACGATTTTTATAATTTCATGTTTCATTATTTTGACAACTGATACAGAGTCTTTGAATTTCAATTGATTCCTTAAATATTTCTATCATGAAAGAAAATAAGGAAAATTCCAGTATTTGCTAAATTTATTAAGATATTCAATTTATCTTTTTCACAAAATCATATGAGCTTTTATTTCTTTTTCATTTTTTCATTAAAGAATCGAGGATTTCTCTGTCATTCACGATAAATACATTCCTATGCGAGTCACATCTAGTGGCTTTGTGGTGTGGAATCCGGCTGGGATATATACCATCGCCTGTTCGTCCGACATCACCTACTACCCATTGGATATCCAGTCCTGTACGCTGTCCCTTAGCTCCTGGGCTTACACTAGTGATGAAATCGACCTCAAGCTCAGTACTCCGGCCATCGACTTTTCTTTCTACTCAGATAATGGAGAATGGGAGATGGTCACTTTTTCAGCGTCTACTGGGGACGCAAAAACAAGGGGCGATCATACATTCGCCAATGTAAAGTTCACCTTGACGATGCGGAGGCGCCCCCTCTTCCACGTGTTAAACACTCTTTTCCCTGTAGCATTGATGTCTGTACTTAGTGCTATGGTGTTCAAGCTTCCAGCTGACTCTGGCGAGAAGATGGGATTTTCTCTAACTGTCCTCCTGGCGTACGCTGTTTACCTGACTCTTATCTCTGACACCATCCCAAGCACTTCTGTGACGGCTTGCTACCTCTGTAAGTTATTTCTGTTCAAATAAAATACACTTGTCTTTTTTTCCAAATATATTCACTTTCTGACTGTTTTAGTTATATATTTAATAGTTCAGTCTGCATGATTATACAATAACTGTATTGGACGCATTTTCCCGCTATTCAAACACATTTGGAAATTCATATCTTTAAAACAATTCTGAAATCGAAAATCAAACAAAGCGATTGAATTCTTATATATTTTGTTTTAAAATTTTAGCTATCTACCTTGCCTTGATTTTGATGTTTGGAACTTTTGCGGTGATGTGTTCCATTCTCGTCCTCAATGTTTACTTCCGTGCAGAGGAAATGGAAATCTCGAAAGGTTGGAGGCTGGCCACCAAAGTAATGGCGTTTTTAGTGAGGTGGCAGCAACCTTGCCTTCCCTACAGATGCCACATACGACAAAATGACAGAGGAAACAAAGTGGAATCCTTGTCATTGCAGAAAGCTCCCCTTCCTGACGATAAAAATAGCATAGTTGATCAACAGGAGGTCGTGATAGAAAATGAAGTAAACGATGACTTAGAGATCAGCTGGAAGATCATAAGCTACATCCTTGATAAATTCTTCTTCGTCTGTTTTCTTGGTTCGATTGGTATTTCCACTTTCGTGTTCTTGGGTCTCATATTCTCGGAGTTTAACTCTGTGTGAGACGCAAACATACGAGGCGGTAATGGTAATCACTCGTAGGAAATGTGGAAGGTGTACGTCAAATTACTAATAGCTATGCATCATTATACCGTACTATTGAGAATCATACAGGAGCCTTTCTAGTTCGTTAATATTATGACCAGTATTCACATGATGCCGTTTAAGTTTTGTAATGTCACTTCGAGGCGTATCAGGAAAAGGCAAATCAGATGATAATGATTTTCATGAAACAGATCTATGATTACTCATTTTCATTCCACCCGGGACAGGGTTTGTAGAGAATAGTGTCATTGTACCATTTACGTATCAATTTTGTCTTTGCGCACCTACAACAAGAACGTGACGTCAATAACACCGTGACTCATACAAGTGATGACACTGGCCAAAAGGTCGGACTAATCAAAGAGTGACGTATGAAAATGTGTTGAAATCCATCATCTTGGGAACAATTCTTTTTTTAAGAAATATTTCACTTTGGCATATATTTTATCGTGAAATAATTCATGTGGACGTGAAAATATTAGATGATGTATATGACGGCGGCCGTATGTTATTATTTCTGTGAAGAGTTTTCTCGAACCTATATGACTTATCGCTGTTGTGAAGTGAGGAAGCCAACAGCGCATTTACACAGACCATTAGTGTATTCATAAAACCGTACTAGTACTCAAGCATGGGTTCTGTTCCCAAATCGTTTTATTGTATCTTGTTTACATCAAGTGACACGGTCAAAATGTCAAGTCTTGACATTGAAAAAAAATAATCGGCGATATATCTGTGCAAAATCATTGTTCCATATCATTGATAAATGTACTGTTCTTCACTCTATCCCAAGATCATTAAAACCTGGACTTAATCAGAAACGACGATTTACTTTCCTAAATGTACAGTTAAGGCAATTTTAACATCATTGAATCTATATCAATGCAAAGTCTTTGCGTACCTCTTGTTATCCATAAACCAGGCAAAGGATTAAATTAACCTTTGACGCGAGTTTATTCTGTGTGAGAACACTGTCACATTATTGAATATATGGGCTCTTAGATGTGTACCTTTCTGCTTTAGGGGGACCGAACGCTCTTCAAATAATATTTATATAAAGGAACATTTCAATGAATTGTATCAGTTTCTATTACCGTTCCTGAATAGATATTTATCTTGAAATCAATACCAATGTCACACCTTAGGTTTCTACAGTTATCACATTGGTAAATAGACGTACTGGCACCATGGGTTACGATTGATAGAGAGTGTTTGCTATCTAAGGATATTAAATTCTACCAGAGGTCATACGATATATTCTACAAAAGATAGGATAACTACAAAATTTCGTCAAGACGGATTTTGAATTTTTATAAAACTTTTGTATGTTTGACTTTTTAAAGGCGCTAAAAATGTACTCTGAATATCACGTATTGTAGCCGAGACATGTTCACTGTTGACGGTAGAACCTTAAATTGTGTTACATATAGTTAGTGTTTGAAAGTAGCGCCTGTCTGTCCTTTGTGATGACTGAGGGCAAGGCAAACGTGTTACTTATAATGAGTTAGACACGATCAGCCTATAGTATTACTGATAATCTGGGTCAAGGCTTAGTACTCAACATTACAATGAATAGAAATCGTGATGTTGCCGTGATTTAAAATTGTCTAATTTTTTTTAAAGACAATGTTGTAAAGCCGAGGCGAAAGTTAATGCTAAAGAAAGTGTTCTTTAAAAATGATTCGGTTTGTTACATGAAAAGAAACTCGGAGAATAACGAAGTAATAACATAAGTAAGACTGAAAATCGATAAAACTAGCGCAATTTGTACCAGTGTCAATTTCACGTTACACACGCTATGACTTAGCACAACAGGTAGGTGTTATTGTATTTATATATATTTTAGTTATACAAAGTGTGCCATTGTCAGAAATTGTTGTTAAGACGAGGTGAGAGTTATTAGTAATCCCGTAATTGGAAAAAAAATGTACGATAATTCTTCAAACTAGGGTTATGATATAAAGTAGGACGATATAATTAACCAATCAAAAAACCAAAAAAAACACCATATAACAAAACAAAAACCAGAAAGAAATGAGGATAATGGAGGAAATTTAATGACAGGCTATTCTTAATATTTCGACACAATGATATGCAAAAACAAGTTTTAAGCAGCGGAGCGGATATATACATGTACCACGCACAGAGATAAAGAAGCGTAGTTACAGGTGCATCGCAGAACAACTTAACATCTTGCATTGGATTCAATAAAGTTGTCCCCTTTTGGCATCAATATTTACAATAACAGCAGCAATAACGGATTCTCTATTCTTACTTTTGAATATCAATTTACTTTCATTATAAATTTTGGTCAGACTTCCATAGTTTCCATAGATAGCCCAAACGGTTAGAGTAATAGCAGAACAATCTGGAGTCCAGTGATCGAATCCTGATCTAACCCCTCTGGATTTTACCCTCCTAACAATGTTGTTAATTAAATACTTTTTCTTTCATCTTAATTTTTTTTTCAAAAAAGTCCCGCAAAGTATATTTTTCTTCTTAGAAATAATTCATTTAAACTGCAGTCATGCCAGAAACGTCAGTTTTCAATATGAAGTGACAGTTTTGACAGTGGTACCGGGATCCTTAAGCTGAGAATGTTACGTAAATGAACATTGTTCGAATAGTTGGAAGGTATATATTGTTAACGGACTTTTGCAGAGACGGTCATTTTAAAGAAGAGAAGGATCAATATATATTTAGCGTGTAATTAAAACACGAGTTGACAATATATAGTCTTTAAACATAAAGACTATATATGTGTACTTTTAAAGTTTAAATATGGGCATCTACGGTGAACACATCCTCTTCAAAGAGTTATTTAAATAACGCTAAAAGGATCGTAACATTTTCAATTTCCATACCCCAAAACGATACATAATTGATAATCTGTGCCATGGTCATATTATCAAGTTTCATACCCAGTATCAAAAATGTACATAAAACCACTGAGATCAGGAATCAAAGTGATATACAGTGTTTGAAATGTGTAAATAAAACCGTGACGTATATGGTTTAAATCAATACTCATACAAGATATCTTTCAAAAGGTAAAAAAGCAATTTTCATAAGAGGAATAACAAATCTGATATTAGTTTTGTACTTTTGAAACGGGTACAGTTCATTGGCAAACCATTCAGGCAATAAACATATAGTATACTGTTTAAGATATGATGACTAAAGGATTAGCATACTTCAAAGATTAGAAACGTAGTGTTAAGTAGTCCCTGTGCCTCGTACTTGTAGAACGGCCTACTATGTGTTGTAAATGAGTATCACTAAATCCTTTTTAGTGCAATAGACACGATTGACATGCAAAGTGTGCTAATCATGAACCGATAGATAGTTATTCATAGGTATGACAATTTGTACTTCGTAAAGGGTCTTATTATTATGAAAACAAATCTAGTGACATGAAACGAAAAGTAAATGCGAAAAGGACATCATTAGAAAATAGCTACGTGTGTTATTAGTTAAAAGTACATCTGTATATATTTACGATATTTGATGCACAATCCAAACAAAACATTGCTCTTATAACCAACTATAACAAGGACCTTAACTCGTAAATGTTTTCCAATTTGAAATGTTCGTATTACTGTAAGATTTTTTTTAAACGGAATCCAATCATACCGTGACCTCAAAATATTGACGGAATTTCCGATTGACGTTTGATGCTAGGTGGAAATGGTTGACATAGAAACACGTCCCCCCTGAAAACAGGACATTCTACAATTTGGTTACATTTTGTTTTTCAAATGTTTTACGAGCAAACCGCCCCCCCCCCCCCTAGTAAAATGAAATTAAAATTTCCATGTTGTTTTGAATGGAGTCATAATGATTGAAATGCTTCTTTTGAACATTTATGATGGCATGTAATACAGTTCATTACAGTTCTGTTTAAACATTATCTCAAAGCTACATGCATCATAATCTCAAAGCTGCATGCATCATGTGCTTTGATTTCATACTTATCTAATTGACGGCAAGCTGTATCTATTACCATATGTTAATGGTGCAGACCCACGTGTGTGTCTTACGTTCTCCTTGAACGTAACAGTGTTGTATTCTATTTGTATAGCTGCCTTGTAAAAACCTTGGGCTTTCAATGTTATTTCCAAGTAAATAGTTGTTTTGCAGGGCATCAGTACAGCTCACATGGTATGCATGTATATTCAAAGGGAAAGCACTCGAATGAAGTTAACATTGACTGGTATGTAACGCGTATGTACACATGGGTAAATAAATCTTTGTTCTAAAACAGAAATAAACTAATTCACTTAAAAGTGACATAGATACTCTCAATCCGATTCATTTTAATGTCTATGAACTGATTACACCGCTTCAGAGATCCGTTTCTGGTAACCTTTGCGTCAATTAAGTGGTTTTATAGACACTAAAAGTATATTTATACAACCAGGAATTTGTGAACGTCACAATGGCATGACATCTGATGCTGTGTACATAGGATGAGGGATGAAAGATTGATTTAGATCAAATTGCAATATCCATAACTTTGAATCTCCCCATTTTCTAGTTTCAGACAAATCGATATTCATAAAAAAAGAAAAACGCTAATTCTGTCTTTAATGGTCCCCAACACGGCTTCATTAGTTATTTATTGATTCGGATAAGTAGTGGAATATTACTAAAGTATGTTACTATTGCATTCTAAAAAAATCATTATTTACATAAATATAGTTCATATTTTGTTCACAAGAACTGTTACAATCAATGGAAATTAATTTAATAACAATATTTAATGACTACAGTAATAACATTATGGACACATTCATTCGGTCTATCTCTATGCTCTATTTAATAGAAAATATGTAAGTATAAATACTAATGTAAATGTAACAATAATGTAATATTATTTTATACATGATTAATATAAATCGAAAAAGAATCGGTACACCCTGTTATCTTCACAATCTTATGGAAATACTTTTTTAACGTAAATACAATATTCCGTCTTTGCGTATTGCAGAGTTATCTTCTCTTGGGAGCAGGTATTGATTGTTACGTCACTTGTTTGTGAGAGTAACGCCATCAACTTTTGAGAAAACGACGTAATTTTCTCACACAAATCAATGACGTAACAATCAATACCTGCTCACAAGAGAAGATAACTCTGCAATACGCAAAGACGGAATATGTTTCTTTGAAATAAACATTTTCATTTTACGTGACGGTACAATACACAAATCTCCAATAGAGAAGGTAAGCAGGTCAACAATAATATTTGTCAAAGGTCTGTTTGTCTAGCACGGTATACCACGAACAATTGTTTTCATCTGGTTTTAATATTATTGCATTTTCTCGATTTTCAAATTAATTAAAAATAGATAGGTATATCAAGTTAAAATAACGTAAAAGTATGTATACGGAGTGTTTCTTCCAAAATCGCAAATTCGACACTTCGTCAATAATGATTGCAACATCAAATTAGTTTACAGTATACAAAGTTATATGATCAATATCTATTTTTCTTTCTGTAATTTCTATTTGTTGCATGTTACAAATCTGCAGCATGAAATAAATGAATATAGCATTGAATGTGATAAAGTATTAATTATTATTTTCCAGCAACAAATACAAATAATGTTGTCATACTATCTAGCCATTATCCCAAAATGGTAAGACTAATAATGACAACAACAGTCCAATATGTACGACTACTTTGGAAAGGTAGTAGTTCACGTTAGTGAGTCAAGTGAACTCAACCTTTCCAGAGACACTCTCCTAATATCCTAATTGGCATGACGATTATAAACATAATTTTCATCAATCTAATTGTTTAATCTGATATACAGCTTATAAGATATGCCGGATAACCAGTTACTTGGTGCCGACTTATATCCCTTCTCTATTATTTTCGAGAGAAGTTTGCCGACATTTACCGCCCCTTTTCTAAATATGATATACCTATTACGTCTCTTGTTTGATTGACGTGATAATCTGATCATTGTGCTGTTTAGAACATTAATGAGGTATATAGACCAAATATATTATACAGACCTAACGGTAACATATATGTTTTGCATCATCATTATGCTTAAGCTTCCGATTCATATGATTAAATTCGATCACACGATCAAAATTGCTCAAACATTATTTGAGATTCTGAACGTTTTTATCTAATTATGACGTGATGCTAATTGACATTATGTCAACGCCAACAGGTCCTATTTGTTTTTAGAAGTTCAAGACAGAGTTCTGTGTTATATATAAAAATATTTATCATTGATAATGACGTATACAATTATCGTCATGTTTAAAAAACCCATTAAATCATTCATCGATTTCATTTCAAAAGTAATCAAACTTGTAGCATAAAGTCAACGAAGCTTGATTTCACGCATTGCGTATAATATCAAAATACAATTTTCATATAATACAAAATGCATCCGAAAGTCGCAAAAAATGCATATATCAGCACATGCAGTATCAGCATTATAACGTTATCTGAGACGAAACGCAGAGATTGGGGTAGTACTCCTCGGCTGCTCCACTAGATATTGGCGAACTCGTTCGATAGAATGCCAAAGAAGACGATGGAGGTGAGGACAATGACCCACATAAACACATTGAAGAACATAGCGTCCAGGACCTGGGAAACTATCTGCCAGGACAGTTGATGATCGTTGCTTTCCAATGAGGCCGAATCGTAATCCTCAACAACAGACATGGACTTTTCATTGACGTCCACCTTGATCTTGGAGACTATAAAACAGAGATAACATGTGTAAGATTATTCTCTAAATTGTGGATGTGCATGTTCTCATGGCGTTTACATAGAAATTCATTGACTAAAAGGGTTGTTTAGGAAAGGAATGTTATCAAGAAAAAACAGCGCGAAAACGTCCACGTTTCGATTAGACAAAACCATTGGTATGTGTAAAATCGTATCAAATTACTGCATAAACATTATGCTTAATATTATATGGGCCAAAGAGGTAATATCAAGGGTAACTGCCCTATTAACACTAGATCCTTGTAAATGTATGTTTGTAGGAAACGAATTACTTAAAATTGGTATATGAGGCAAGGAAGTTATTCCAATAGTGTAGACAATATGAATTTGCTCCGACAATTGGCAACCTCAAATTGTCTTCACTATTGGAATGACTTCCTTGCCACTTTGCTGCTAATTAGATATATTAAAATTCCCTTTCATCAAGAATACAGAATAAGAATGCATGGTACCATACTAATGATTTACGAATGACAAAATAGATATTGCTATATATGAAAGATTCATGAACTTTGTGAAGGTACGAGGGCTAGCAAAGGATAATGTTGAAAGAGAAGGGAGATATTCACCAGCAAATATGAGAATAACATGCGTTAACCACTTTTGGCATGAGAACAATTATTTCAATGAGAATTCGGAAACCACTCAATGTGCTAAATGATATTGAAACAATTTCACCTATTTGTATTCTTTTACCAAATTACGCAATGTTGGAAAAACGCTAGAGCTGAACTTTAAGTTAAGTTTTTTAATATCATTAATAAAATATGAGAATTGTTTTGGTAATACTACACATATGATAAGTGTTATGAAATACTTGTGTATCTAGAGATTTGTTATTGATCAAAATAATTTATTTAATATTTTATTTGGCTCATGAAAAAGTAACAATAAAACAACACACTTATCTTTATGATGTTTCATGCTAGGCTGATTGGCATATTGTGATGTTGCTTGTTATAAGTGCCTAAACTTGGCATCAAATTGTAAATAATTGTCATCGGGATTATTCTTCTATTTGGCAATTATTTGTTGCGGTCAAGGTAGAATAAAATGTAGGCCGAAGTGTCAAATCACGAGGACATTCCAAACAAAAAGACGACATAAAAAGAACAACCATGGGAATTAAAAAGAGTTAAAAAGACACCAAAAGTAGAGATATACATTTGTAGACTCTTAAATTTCCCAAATGAAGAGTTGATTGATTTTCATTTTAACTGTTATCAATGCTAAACCATTTTATTTTTGATATCTCAATACACTTATAAAATAGAACCATTCATACCAGACACAACGTTGATAGTCTTCGTTTGTTTGGGTTCCACCTTCTTTTTACAGCACCCACTAGGACTACAGCTTCCTTTCCAGAAACCCATTGGCATGAAGACGGATATGGTGACACGCCTTAACCAGTTTGGAATGTACTCCTCGTCCGGCCGTGAATGGACGTTGATCACCATTATGGTACACAGGACAGACAGAGTACCGTACGTGAGGATAAGGCTTAGATAGATAGCTGTATAATAGACAGACGTCATGTGTAGTACTTCATTAAATATATATCAATGAAAAAAAGTCAAAATATGTACAAAATAGAACAATGTAAATAAATTTCTAGAAAGTATAATCATATCAAGATGACCATAAACAATGATAAACTCTGAAGAATTTAGCATAAAAATAAATGACTAAAACGAATATTATAATTGTAACGAAATTTATATTAATTTAATCAAGAGTACATACGTCGCACTTAATATTTTCTTATCTTATATCTGTTTCATTTAATGACTACACAATTACTTGTAAAATGACACTGCACAACTTTCCCCATACTCCTTATGGGTTTGGTTTTTACATTCAAACTTACTGATTAAGTTGGAGCTAGCTTAAAAGTCATCTATTTCAGCAGCATGAGTACATGAATTATATTAATTAATTCAGTTAATGCATTCCAAGAGAATATTTATTTTGTTTATGTATGTCCTTTTCCATGTGTTAAACTCACTCGAAGGACAGATTGTGTGCCCTGGAATACTCACACAAAAAGCAAACGGAGACTGAAGTGCTAGGGATGTTGTCCGAAATCAAGGTCAGATACACTGCATACGCCAGCAGGACGGTCAACGCAAACCCAATCTTCTCTCCGGATTCTACAGGTAGTTTGAAAACCATGGCGCTAAGCACCGCCATCAGGGCTACCGGAAATAGTGTGTTTAATACATGAAACAGTGGTCGGCGCCTCAGTTTGATGGAAAATTTGACGTTAGAAAAACTATTGTCACCTTTTGAACGACTTCCAGATGAGCTACCAGACGTAGCTATCAACTCCCATTCCCCATTTGCTGTGTATGTATCAAGATCAACAGGTTCAGTATCAAAGACGAGGTCGATTTCATTGCTGGTGTATGCCCAAGACGTGAGAGACACACTGCAAGTCTGGATGTCGAGAGGATAGTACATAATGTCTGACTCACATGATACAGTGTAGATGTCGGCAGGTGACCAATGAATGGCACCAATGTTCCGTATCCTCATAGGGGTGTGAACGTCACTAATAATGGATATTCCATGCACCCTGCAAAACGAAGAAATATTGGTGACGTCAAACACAAGAAATTATCAAGCAAGTTTGTAAAACTTATACTTATCACATTTGTTGGCCCGCATTTTAGCGCGCATGGGGTTCTTAATGTGGGAGGAAACTGAAGTACCAGAAGAAAACCCACGTGGTTGGGCAGGTGACCCATTACATTTTCATGTCTTATCGGGGAATCGATCCCCGGCCGCCGTGGTGAAAGGCAAGCGCGCTATCCACTGCGCCACTCGATTACCCAGGAAATTGTACTGATGATGTGACAAATTTAGAACAAAGTTTACATTGTTGTAAAGGAAGATTATTTACGTTCCGAACGATTACTGACCTTAGCTGCTGTACATGTACATACATGATGGACAATAATATAGTTATATACCATGCGCAATATAGTAATAGGAAGGATAAGATAATATCTAGACCTTGCTGCAATATATCTCATCTTTTATTGTCCCGTGTTATTCATGTCTTTTGATTTTTAACATTATTTTTGCCGTAAATCAATGTTATTCATCAATTTATATCGGCAAATTACATTACATCCGTGCATTTTCATGGTATTATAATCATTTGTCGATAACATATCACGAACGTTGCATACTGACATAATTGTAATTGTATATACATATATAAGGCAGCTAAGCAATTAGCTTAATTTATGCTCGTAACGTCATAACAAGTTCTGTAGATTTACTGTTATTTTAATATAATTTTTGGAGCTTGAATTGTTTGCGCAATTAACGGTTCAGTGATTGGCTGCCGATGACAGCGTCAGGGTTTCTGAGGCTGGTCACTGATTGGTCAAGGGGTCAGAGGTGACGCTATCTCACTCTGGGACATATCCCCGTATCAGGCAGCCACTGTATTTGTACGCTCATCAAGCTCTCATGATTTTTTTTATTTCTTTTTATACATGTCTTGGTCGATACCGAGACGTATCGACGTTGATAAGGTGACCGAACCATTCGGATACAGTTTCTGGACAGTGGCATCAAGCTTCTTTGGACAAAGACGGTTTTCAACCCACGAACAGGATTCTGAGGGTTCGTCGATCAGAGATGAGACAAAATTGAGTATACGTTTTGTTTGTTTGATGTGTAACTAATTATGGCTGTTCTTCGCACTAGAGTATTACTTTTAGGACACAGTCTTCTTAGGCGACTTTGTCACGAGGTTTTATATGACATTTTCCTGAAAGTTTTGGCTTAGGCATAGACGTATATCGTTACAGGCTTATGTGTTGGAGGGTCAATATATAGCACGCCTCGAGCCCTGCCGTTTTCCGGAGGTTCACGACAGGTTTTGTTTTGAAGATCCAGCTCTACGTTGTATTAATTCAGATGGGTTGTAACAGTTGTTGTGACTCTCGATTTTCTCTTTCTGTGTTTGCTGATACTATATATAACTCCGCTGTCGCACTTTGCAAGAAATATGGGGTCAGTGTTTATATTTGTAAATTATTATTTTAGCCGACCAACACCCCGTCGAGTTGAACAAGGTCTTGGGGTAGATTGTTCTCGGAGTCGAGAGGATTCGATGTCTATTTGTGGGGGAAGACATTCATGAGTAGTCCTCATGAAGGTCTTTGTGGCGTTTTTTGGCAACCCCACTTCGGCTAGCTGTTATAGTTTGTAGTAGTGGTTGCCATGCGTGTGTGGTGGCAGCTACTGGGTTATTCAATTTTTCATATAATTTTCCATATATTATTGATTTTATGCTAAGAGCCCTATTGTAGCTCTATTGATATTTATAAATTCAATGTCACCAATCTGGTGGCCATTTTCATTCATATTGTTGTCCCAGGTTTGCTTGTTATCAGTGCAGGGGCATAAATATAATTAACAGATATGAAAACTGTTGTACAACTAATAACCATTCCAACATCTTAAAATAGAATCACAATATGCTTCCTTATATGGAATTACATTATGTGTCCTAAAAGGATTGCATCATGTGATAATTCAAGAGTTGTATATAAGAGATTTTGCAGTCATATTGTTTAATTGAATGTAATATGGAATACATTGTTATGCCATTTTAATGAGTTATTCAAGAAATCAATTTGTAGATGGTTGCTTACAATGCCTGCTGATGGGAAGCGAGCACGTGTTTAATAAAGGAACTATAAAAAATTATGCTCACATTACTTCAATTAATACGCTCTTGATTTGTAATTTGTATTAGCTCCTAAGTCTTGTTTTACTTTACGTCATGAAGATAATAACGTCAAACTCATGAGTATGCGAACCAATGGTTTCACTGGATGTTAACGTTATATATATCAATAAAACGTTTTTTTGATTGAATCAACAAAAAAGGTAAATATTGCCATGAAGACTTCTTTTAAATAAAATCATTGACTTAGGAATGCGATGTGGTAATACCTTGGCCTCGGGTTACAGTGATATTCTCGCGGCGACCCGAGGTACTGTCACACTTTAATGAATAAAGTATCTATATAAGAACTGTTGCTAAATAATTGCTTGTTTTGTTGTTTACATTGGAATGTGTTTTGTTATACGAAATATGCGAAAGTATGAAGGAAATTACGCTTCATGAAGATATTGACAAATAACGGAACTAAAAATCCTGACTAGGAATACGTGGTAAGGAAGATCCCATTTAAACAAAACTAGTAATACAATGCAATAAGCCAAACAAAGTCAATATATTCATCGGTGTAATTCAAGGTCAATAGTGTGAAAACCCATTAACGAAATGTTTAGAAACATAGCAAAGTGGTTGAAAAACCTTTAAAACTTTCCAAAACGTTACAAAGTAGAATGTTTAGATATAATATTTAATTAACTCTTAAACAAGTACTTTACGTAAACTGGACCTCACGTTATATTCCTAAATTATCTGTTGTAATCTGATAAAGTTTTACACTCACGCGTTGTCAATAAGTAGCGAAGGGCGCCAGACGTATGTCTCTGTGCTGAACAAGAAATTGATAGGGTCGTAATCTGACAACTCATCCCATGCAAGGCGCTCGTCCTTCCATTTCTGTGGAATATAATGTTTTTCCCCTCATTAATCACTTTTAATATTTTGTTATAAAATTGAATGAAAAGAAATCCTGCAAAAGCATAATTTTCAGTACTTGGTCCATACAACAATTCACAAACAACGGGTAATTATAATGTACTTTAAAAAAATGCAGTATTTGTAACATTCACCTTTTTGTCTCTTATTATATAGGAAATATAAAAACCCCTAAGTTAGTGTATGCAAATATGAAAACGAAAAATACATTAAACATTTTACAAAGTCTTCCTCGCAAATCACACCACATTCTGAAATGATGTTTTGATACAGATTTCCTTTTATCATGTAAATATTGCAAACAAAGCTGAAATATGGACTTACAAGTGAAAGATAACCGGTCATCGACAGGGTTTGGTCTTTGATACTCTGAAAGAAATACAAAATGATTTTATCAAAAACTGTTACATGTTATGCATTCGTTAACACCCGATATATGCATGCTATTAAACACAAGAATAGCAGCAAACTGAATGTACATAACAATAACATTTGTTCGACGTACCAATCAAATCAAAAGAGTTCCTTTCAAAATCTCACTGTTTCAGCTTGTGCTCAACTCGCAGATTGCAATTGACGGCAGTTATGCAACTTTTTTTCTTCATCGTTATGAAATATTCTGTAACCACTTAAAAATGATTTGTTTTCCCTTTAATGAACTCATTAATTATTAGCTAGATAAATATTAGCTTGATATTGTTTTTTTGTGGAACCTCTAAATCATAAGCTCAACCAGAGTGATCTTTCCTAATTTACTAATTGATTTCAATTCATATGAATATAACACACTATATTTCTGAAAAATATTTTCAGGTTGGTTAGTATGATTTTGCAAAGTTCTTTTAACACAACCAATAAGAGTTCCTATGTGACGTTTCGATGACAAGAACGGTATGTACACTGTCACCTTCATCAGAAAAATGACCAGTTAAGCGTATGCACACAAAGCGTAGCTGAATCGAATCATTTCGATATATATATATATATCTTCTTCCTAAAATTCACAAACCTGGGAACCCTGGTAGACCCACCATTAACTCGATCAACCACCCGACGGAGAAATTTTCCCAGTTTGTTGACTTCCACCTCCGACCATTCGTAGAACATTTACCATCTTTATTAAAAGACACCACAGACTATTTAAACAAAACACCTGCTAAGAACTTACAAGAAGGTACCTTGTTAGTTACGATGGACGTCGTTTCCCTCTACACTAATATACCGCATGACGGCGGCATTGCAGCCTGTCGCGAGGCATGGGAACGGCGCAGTACCAAACACCCATCGACTGATAGCCTGGTGGATTTACTGAGACTTGTCCTCACACTTAACAACTTTATATTCAATGAGGATAACTACATACAAGTTAGCGGTATAGCCATGGGTACTAAGATGGCCCTTCATATGCCAATGTTTTTATGGGACATCTTGAAGCCCAACCTTTTACATCTGCTCCAATTAAGCCATTTAACTGGTTAAGATACGATGACGTTGAAATCAAATGGAAATCGGGTCGGGACTCCCTTGACGAGTTTATTGAGTACGCTAACGCGTTCCACGCCACAATCAAATTCACAGCGGATATCTCGACGGAGAGCAACACATTTTTGACACCAGTACCACTCTGATTGATGGTAATATTAGTACGGACCTCCACTGTAAACCTACTGACACACACCAGTATCTCCTCCCATCCAGTTGTCACCCCTCGCACACCACGAGAAGCATATCCTACTCCCAAGCTCTGCGCATCAGGCGTATTATTTCGGATGACATCATCTTTGAACGCAGATGTTCAGAGTTAAAGTCCCATCTTCTTGGCAGAGGATACAAATCTACTTTGATAGATCGGGAATTAGACAAAGTGAGGGTACTGGACAGGGCAAGTCTGCTTGTATACAAAGTCAGGCCCCATACACAAAGGGTACCTTGTTTTGGATCACCAATCTGCAAACCCGCTACCCTCGAGGTATGAACGAACGATAGGCGGTTGCCATCCGCTCGTTTTCCTTCCAGGGGGCATTTGACCTAATGATTCATTACTGCACAGTTGGTTTGTTATCTCGCCTGCCTGCTGCTTTATGTCAGTTTGTGTGACCAACAGCTGTTGTCAGATTTATTTTGCAGATTTATACAGTATCTTAGCCATTTCATCTACTTATTCCTCCTGTACGCACTTATTTGATAATTACATGCATAATTCCTGCAAACCAATAGAGGCATATGCATTATTTCTGCAAACCAAAAGAGGCGACTAAGTGCGACCCCCTGCTGTGACTTAGATCCATCGCAGTATTGAGAGGCGACTAATGAGACATTTCGTAGCAGTTGGAGATTTTTCACATTTACCGGGCCAGATTTCCAAATGCACAGGTTCCACGATTTTGATATCTCTCGTTGACTCACTTTATATGACTGTATCTTGCGCACGAATAGGTCCTCTACATCAGCGTTCCTTGTCCGCGATGCTCTCCGCTTAATTGCTGCCCTCGGTTGTCTATAGCCGAGGGGACTTGGTTTTATATAATAGCTATATTTTGAATTATAGTATATCAATTCTATCTTCTTGTAATATGATGTATATTTACATGTAACTGTTCTGTTTCACTGTGTCTTGAAAAAGGAGGCGGATCGCTCCGAAAATTTGACAACCTAAACTTGTCCACACTGTTGGAATCACTTCTTTGCCCCATATATATAACAACTACTATTGTACATAAGCTTACGTAGCCGAATCGACATCAATTTTGTGGACAACTCGTACACATTTTACACCTTGTGTGCATACGCGTCACTGGTCAATTGTCTAATGAAAGTGACAGTGTTCATACCGTACTAGTTATCGAAACGTCACATAGAAACTCTTACTGGTTGTGTAAAAATAACAATTTATAATTACACACTATAAGATAAAGGAAATATACCATACAGTAATATGAAGGATGAAATATGTTGGTAGTGTTTGATTAAGACATTTCCCTTTCTCTTTATAATGGTATTGCAAATATAATTTTCGTGTGAATAAATTTAAACAGTTACAGACAATGTTTAATTAACTATAAAATTGTAATGTTGATTGGAACAACATAATGCCACGTCAATGCCCAACCAAGGTTACAATGGCGCGGCTTAAATGATAGAGTATATAGCATTAAGCCTGAGTACACACGGTACATAGGGAAACTACTGACCATGTCGTTGATTGTGAGTATACTGAGGGATACATTGATCATCACTTTCTCCTCGGGACGCTGTAGTACGCTGTAGTTACGAAACAGCTCGGTTCTCAGTTGTGTTTCTAGTTCTTTGGAATAGGGTATATCGGGCGGTCGAAAGCCATTTACAACTGCAATATCTACGAACAAGCGATAACAGATTTAAGACAATTTGTAAGTTTTTTCAGTTCTTTTCGGCCAGATAAATTTACTGGATTTGGAAATGGAAGTTTCAATAACTAATTTGTTTTGCTAAAATATAACTCCTTAACATCAATTGACAAGAACAACATTATAACTCAACATTAATACCATGTAAACGAGATGATATTAAAACACTCCCCCCCCCCCCCCCCCCCCCCCAACAACAACAACAACAAAACATTCAGTGCTCTGGTATGGTGAACGTTTCCTATACAATATCTTACTGCCGTGATCATGTCTTCTGTCAAATCCAGGAGAATATGATAGTCAGAGATCTAAGACACGACAAAGAAGTCTGTTTATAAAAAAAGTACTGGCTAATTAAAATACTTAGGAAATCAGGTCATAACATCAATCGTAGCATTGGTTTAAACTATTTATTGGTAAACAATTGGCATTATTTAAGATATGTCAATGCTCATTGTATGAAGCTGAAAAAGAGGCGTATGTGTTTTAATTGAATTTGAAAAAGCTTGGGGCTAAATCAAAGGTATGTAGTTCTTAAAATTTTAAGATATCATCAATAGGACTTCGTGCCATCATCTTAATTATTTTCTTTAAAATCCATTTAGTAAAATGAGCTAAACCAGTCCCTGCAGGTAGGGCGTAAGAATTGTACCTGCTGTCCCAATTGATCGTAAGAGGCGACTAAATTTGGCATCTTATCTTTTCTCTTTCTAAACAACTTTCTTCGTGCTAATTTCTTCCCTGACAGTGCCTCACATTTTGGCATTTAGTTGAGCGTTCGCCCCTGTGAGGAAGGCTTTGGAGTTCTGTCCCATGGCCGACACATACCAGAGTCTGTAACAATGGCAGTTTCTTCTCCTGCTTAACGTTCAGAAATTTAGGAGTGGGACGACTGGTTCGCCCGTTGTTAGTATAATGTGACCGGGTGGGGTGTCCTGCTGGGTGTCTTCGGCAGTGTATTTCAGTTCGGTAGCACCATTAAGTTGGCATCAGTTCCGCGCAATCACAAGGAAACAAAAACAAAAAATAACAAAATAAAATAAAGATTACTACATGTAGCAATAGTGCACTGCTAGTACCAAATGAAATACCGGTGGTCTATGGATCTTCTATAAAGTCGACATCATGCGGACAATATTGTTTGTATATACTTTCCTGCTAGATGTGTGATAACTTGTCAATGAAGTACTGCTACAGGAAATGGCATTGCAACAGCGAGGCATCGAACAGTCGAATCATTGTCTCTGCTGTGAACATTACACACACAAACATATATTACCCTTTGGGAGCTCCGTTGCCATGCTTTTGACTCTTATTGCTATACAAATTTCTATGTTGTATGCTCTATATGTATGTTTGGGGCGAATGTTCAAGTGCTGACATATTTGACGTTGAATAACTTAATGAAGGATATGTTAAAATGAAAAAAAATCAATATCTATTACTATTTAAGTAACCATAACATTGTTTTCTGATTTCTGTTTGTATAGCTTGTTACACGTTTGTAACGATCTACAACCACTAAATTAAACCCATCGTTTCGTCGAGATACTACATTGACAAAGCACATTTTAAATGTCAGTATTTCAGACGAGGTTAAATGTATACCACTATAGGCCAGTGGTTTAAGTTTAACGGCACAGTGGTTTTTCAATACGTTCCAGTAAGATGCCAAACGGTCATCATTGCGCTTACTGAGTAATGCAAACAATATACTAATTGATAAAATATATCTATTGATGTAAACTGGAGATTACATCGCGCAGTCATTATCCTGTTTTACAGCTCTTTCGTTATTGCAATTGCTGCTAATGTACTATGCCTATATACACGTCAATGCTTCGTTCTCTCTTTTGTTTGTTGAACAGTACAGATCGAAATGATTAGTTAGAGTAAACGCCACATTATCATGCTATTTTATTATACTCATACTGCTGAATGGATTTATGACAGCATCGTATATCCCATTACCGGCTGTTGTTTAAACATTCCCAATAACATGAATGCTACAATTCGTGTAGGAGTCATATGGTCAAGCGGTCAGGACGGCTACTTTATACAGGACACGCTTCTGTCATCAATTCTTTTGGATTTATTGATTTATTTCCGTATTTTTTGGTGTCTCCTGAATTCCATTGTTATTTATTGTATCAACTCCTTGACACTACTCTTTTGTATTGGCTATCTGACATTTGACTATATTTGGTTGTAATTTTCATCCTCTCAAGCACTTAAGTTCATATGCTAACCGTGACAACAGATAATGTGAGCTCTCCAGGGTTACGCATTAGTGCCATCTCGCTAAAATGCAATAACCAGGACAAAGCAGCATGACCCTAAGACACGTTATTTTGACAATAATCTTACAATAAGATCCAAGCTAGAAGGCGCTTAATAGAAACAATAGAAGAAAGGATAAGACTTCTAGTTGTATGACAATCCAAATACACGTCGCAGTTAATGATACTTATATTTATTTATGTGTTAATCGAAACACAACGGTTTTATTGTCATCTTGCTTGCATGTACCATATAATATTATTAATAGACCCTAAGACAAGTTATATCGACACTCATCTTACAATACGTTCCAAGCTAGATGGCGCTTAAAATAAACAATAGAAGGAAAGATGAGTGTTGCAATGGAAGAAGGATTTTGGTTTGTTTGTCCCTAAATGAGGACACAAGATAAATTTGTGATTTTGCAGGGGATCCCGTATAAAACAATTTTTATAATCAAGCGACGGATACGACATGAACTTTTTCTAAATCGGAGAGGAAAAGATATATCATTTACATCGGTATGTTGATAAAAGATAACTACATGTTGACTCATAGAGGTTCTTGGTACCACCATGATCTACATGCTTATACATGGATATTTATGAACTTATACCCTTTATCAAACCCAAATCCTAAAATTACAGCTACAAACTATTTTTTTGGTCTAGTGAAAAATAAAAGACGATGCTCATATTTTCCTATAGCTTTCACAATTGAGTGTAGGCTAAGTTTAAGGAAGATGACCCATACGCGTTTTGTTCAATATCCTTATATGGGGTTTTAGGAGCAAATCTGTACGCATGTTGACAATAAAACCGTTTTGTTTTGACTTATACATAAATACAAAAATATATCATTAATTACTACGTGTAATGTGTTTGTCATACAATTAGAAGTCTTTATCAAGTATGCAAATTATAAATATGATTTAAAATGTTTTTATTTAAAGAGATGGAAGTGATTTTTCGGATTCTTATTTAGATAATTTCATTGCCTGTTCGCTAATTATGTATTCAATTTTCTGTATCAGTTAATTACTTCAATGTCATTTGGGAAATAAAAAATAAAAATCTTGTAACAAACATCAGAGGTTTGATGTATATTTTATGTCGAGTCATGGTCATTTAAAATAGTTACTGGTTTTTGAATTATAGGTTTCAAAGAATTTGACGCCATCCGACATGAAACCAGTTACATGTATCGCTCTCTCTGTCTCGACCACGTTTTGTCGATGTCCTTGATTGTATTAGTACGATTTACGTGATGGTCGTCAAAATAAATGAACTGCTTAGACTGTATGGGAAAGGTATTCAATCATATAACTTATGACTGATCTATTTCGAATTACATGCTTTAAATTCTTGTGGAATTTTACACTCAATCTCTTATACAAAATATTACTTCACTTTATGTGTACCAGTTTTCTCGTTGTAAATTTAACAGATATATTCTCTTGGGTGGCTATGAGTCTGGTCGCTTCTCTGGATTCCTCCAGAGTCAAGCTTCCTTAATACGATTTGTTGAAAAGAGTTCATGTTACAATTAGTAGGATTGTTATAGAGTGAGTAGCCCCTGATCCGCCACATATGTGAATTTGGCTACTACTTGTTCATTGATTGCACATACATAGTTATCTTGATTCAAGCTATAATCAGGTTAACTGTTAACTCATTGTGTGAAGTTATGTAAAAATAGCAGGTCGGCATACAACATACACCCTTATGTGATTGTAGCACTGTTTTATGATCGCCACCAGAAGTTCAGGAAAAGATTCATTTCTTTCTGTTATATCTAGGTCGATGATTCTATATATGCTCATTACAGTGCCAATCGTGTGATATGCATGTCGATTGTTTTGATTATGTTTACTAGTATGCCTTGTGGTAATGTTGTCACTACCTCAATCCTCGATGTGAGGACGTGACATTACTTGGATGCGGCTTAGATCTACAAGGCGAGTATCATCGAGGAGGCAGAAGACGCTTACTCTTCCGGAATACCTGGTCTTATTCCCCTCGTTCTTTTCCAAGGGTCTCCATGTAAATATTTCATTTGTTTAAATTTTTCCTTATTTTGATCGATGTTTAGTTTATATTAGGGTTTTGATGACACTTTTCTTTAAGAAAACAAGATATTGTCATTCATCAAGCTATTCTAATAATAACCACTTATACTAATTATTGTTTAATGTTAGGTGTTTGAACAGAGAAACTATTGTCCTGATTCTTGGAAACCTTCTGACAATTCCATGCATTCGTTGAGTCAATTATTGTAAAGGGATATAACGTTAATTAAACTCAAATATTCCTTGTTTACACATCGCATGTTGACAATAACGTTAGGATTTGTGTGAATTGAAATCGATCTTGAGTGTTTAAAGTGGAATATGTTATTTCCTGTTGTGGCATTTTATCAATATGTAATTGTAAAAGGGGTTCGTAAATGTCAGTTGTGGTTGTGTTTGTATTGACTATGCGTAACGGAAAGGTAAGAAGCTGACTAATATGGGATTTGAAAAAGACCCGCCCTATATACCATACATGGACGAACCAGGTGCCACTAGTTAGCTTACAGCTTGTCTGGAAAGGGATTTTGTAGCATATAAAGATAAAATGTGATTGGTTTATAATATCAGCAACGGTACTTTACTTACACGTTTTAATGCATTACAACAACAAATACATGTCAATACTTTTTTTAAGTTAGAAATAAAGTTAAAGGTTTACCAAACAACTTTTGCATGTGTGTTTGATGTAGTATTAGAGCACGTAGACATGGAACGCATACACTTACATTCATTTTTGTTTTGTCATAATCGCGAACGTAGATCTCATGAAAGTAAAGTACCAGGCAGTATAGTTAAATTGTATACTCGCATGGATACGTAAACATCCAATATATATCTAGTGTCAATCGAACAGTCACTGTCACGAACAAATGTGATAACATGATAGTTAAAAATATTTGTTTCATTGAAATATTGTTTTAGTTGTCGGCTGAAATCGGGATACGAAAATGAAAACGGCCCCCCCTCACTTCATGATATTTTTTTCCATTTCACTTACAATCAGTAACATGCAAGTCTATTTGTGTGGAATTAGCAAATATTTTCCTTTTTAATGTGTATTGAAATACCGTTCTGAGGCAATATTTGTCTACTTCGTTCAACAACGATTAAAATAAGTTTATGCAACATCTTTACAAATAGTTAAACAGTTGAGACTTGAAGTTATTGCCCAAAACCCAAGCACAAACACATTTTGCTTCATATTCTATGGATATATTTCAGAAATGAAACAGGTTCTCAAATCTGCACTCATCGCCAGCTTCAAATTATACGTGAATTCGAAAAAGAAAAGAATTCTGAAAGGCTCGCTCAAGTTGGTGATATTCAATTCAACTAGGCTTCACAGCATTGGTTTTGCGTTTGTTTTAAAACACAATTTTCATGATACGGAACTGAATTTGTTTGGATTTATTGACGGTCTCAGTTGACATGTAGATGATTAATTGGATGGTTTATTATGAAAATATTGTCCCGCAACCCTGAAGTTATATTTTTGTTAAAAAACTGCTAAACAAATATTCATGTTTTTTGAACTATTCAATAAATGTCATATCAGCACGATTATTACTACAGAAAGATAAAACTTCAGAATTTAGAAATTTCATAAAAAAGCTAATATCGTATATGATACACATACATTTTTTTACCTTATAAACATCGTCAGTTGTCGGTCCAGGTTACTAGCCTAAGGTATAAACGTATGGAAAATACAGTAAAATGCTGTTGAAAACTTTAATCCTTTCAACAACATTTTTTCTTCCAACACTGGGGACAAAAGAAACGCACCAGTACACCATACTACATGTGCTAGTTGGGGAATTAAATTTCCGTGATTCAGGCTTGAATGTATAACTTCTCTTTTTATGATGAGAACATTACTGACGTCTGTATTTGTCTATTGATCATTTTAACCATATATGCAGATAATATATACATATCTAAAGGGCGTGTCAGAATGGGTACACGTAATAGAACATGATATCGGATAAGTCGTGCCACTGTGACGTCCCATATTCACTAGCCTGATATAGATGGGGCTTTCCATGGCCTGAGTACCGAGAGAGACGGGGTATCGGTCACTACACTGACCGTAAAATATGAAATTATTAAAAATCGTGGCCAAAATCCTTTAACTGTTAAATCTGAATTTCAAGTTAAAAAAACCCCAAACAAATCGAAAACAAAAAATCCTGCACTCCTTAAAATTTGTACAAATATTCACTGTTTCTTTGGTTTTGTATTAAATAAGTCTTCTAAAGAGTCTTATATGATTGTATTTTTATCTATTGATGCATAACGATCGTTTTTAAAGATACGTGCAGTTTTATTGTATCTTATATATACACATTCCGGGAAAGAATAGGCCTGCTGTATCTCACTGCATGATCTTATTAGGCGACTTATGCAATGTTTACTGCATTTCTACTTTGTCCTCTTCATAAAGGACATTGAAAAAATCGAAAGCAAAATCGATCTGTTACATCGGTTTGAACAGTGGTGGCATAAATGTATCAAAAGTGATTTACCTTTCAACCTCTACCATAGTCAAAGTGAAATAAATGTTATAGACAGTGACGCATGTAATATTGGGCTACATTAATCGCTAATGGCAATTATGTACAGACGCAATTATTTTAAAACATTATTGGAACCAACATATACTCAAGTGAATACTTTTTAACGAATGGTTTGGCACATAATAGAATGTTTGTTTTATGCTAAAAGATCACATGAAAATCACAGATAAGCGACAAACCTCAGGGGAAATAAGACATCGTAATATACTATATCGCAGAATATACAAAAAAGGCCGATTGCACGAATGAATGGCTTACTAATGAAACATGATACGTTCGTTATTTTATCTATTTATTCAGTCATAAAACATTGTATTTTTTTCAGTTTTTAACATAATTCTGAGTAATTGCTAATATATTTCCTTTACTTATACCACTACAAGTGTATAAAAGGACCATCGTTACGTAAAGCAACACCGACTACATATTTAAAACCATACACTGATGGTTATCATGTTTTTCACACAATATCACTTTTAAAGTACAGAAGAGATTTTAGTTTTAAGACAGGTTCCAATGTTAATATCTCTGCATTTCTGCTTTGTCCTCTACAATAAATGTACTCTTACGTCATATATGTATATATATATATATATTATTATTTATTTTCAATTTGAAGATTTTATTTTCCATTTTTTTTTTACAAGGCAAGACAAAACATATATGACATTGTTCAGAAGTACATGGTTGCTTAGTGCATGCTTGTTCATACATTTATACATGATAAATGGACAGAAAGGCTTTATCGAGATTACTTGTGGTATGTGTGTGTTTGTGTACTTACTGGCTAATAGTGTACTTTGGAGGATTATCTTCAGCGGTCCCCGCACCATCATCGTCACGGTGTGGAGGTGAGCTCTATTGAAAGGCAGTGTAGCGATGAGCTATGTCCATCAGGTAATGTTAAACGATGTATCAATTAATGGTTATTGATTTCTATCTCTGAGTGTAAGTAAATAAAAGTTACTTTCATGAAGCAATACAATGTCAATAATAAAGTGATTAAAACGTTCATCACTTATTCCTCAGAGCTTGGCATGAAGCAATTACTTTCAATGCTACTTCTGCACTTCTAAGAGCTAAACAAAGACAAAAAATAGTGTGCACTCCGGGTACAATTATTAAATATGCCATTCCGTTCCTGCTACCATATTCATCCTCCTTTATATAATACATTGAATCTGTCTCATGAAAATAGGATTACTTGTATAACTATAGCAGGATGTATCTTTTCCAATTAATATGTTAGTTTGATTTAAATGATATACATTGATAACTTCCCTGCCTATTTGTCTTTTCGAAATAATTCACACGCCATGATAAGCAAGTGACACATCACACAATATTATCCCATCTCTACGTATGTAAGATACAAATTTCCCAAACAGAAAATTCATGTTGGATACAAGTATACCATCATTTGGGGTATATGTATCCAACATGGATGCACTCAGTGACCTTTATTGTTATGACGTCACAATCAGATAACCGCATTTCATCATAAAGTCAAAATCGCAATCAAAAGCCTATCAAGATTTCATTGGCTTACTTTGATAATATAAGTTATTTCACAAGCTTACCCTGGAGATCCTGAAATAATCTTTGGATATGATATATACTTTGTTATATACCGGACTGTGTTTTGCTCTTTCTAAAAGTGACCATTGTTTGTGAATGCGTTATCTAGACATTTTCCTATAATAAATGTTGCAATCGGATCGTGCAAGTCGTTTTTAACAAAACAAAAATCGGTAAAGAGGTGGGAGATAAGAGTCAATCATTATAAAGGTAGATAGTGTACGTGGGATATGGAAATTCTACCTCCCCGTGCAGAATTTGCCATGGAATGGTAGCAAAGCCTCGGTTCTAACCAAAGTTCTACAGCCAAGAATATCCATATCCCATATGATACCGTTAATTCGAGATCATGATACAAGATGCATACTGTAAATTCGAGATTGAGATATAAGATGCATACCGTCAATTCAAGATTGTGATAAAAATGTTTACCGTATATCATAAATTCGAGATTAAGATAAAAAGATGTATACCGTGAAAGTATGCATAGCAAAAATTAGATTTAGATGAAAGATGTTTGCCCTTAATTCGGGAATGAGATAGAGGGTGTATACCGTTGGTTTAAGATTGATATAAAGTATATATACCGTTATTTCGAGTTTGATATAAAGGATGAAAACCATAAATTTGGGAACATTATAAAAGATAAGTACAGTGCATTCGGGATCAGGATTATAATAATTCCCTCTTGGTAAGATTACACTGATTTGACAATCCAATAACGCATGCAACATTAAAATATTCCTTTTACGATTAACGTGTATTCTCCTATCGGCTAACAACATTTGTCTCTATAGTTTGCATTAAACCAATTTTTTTAAGTGTCAGAAAAAAACGCTGTAGTAAAATTAATTAAAACATACATTGTACGAGATATTAAAGTGAACGACTTACCTGGCTGCGGTGGTGTCGGAGGCTGAACACCGATGCTGTTTAAATGAAGTGGATTTGCTGCTGACTGTTGATATCCCACAAGCCTATCGAATGGTTTCAGTCAACACACAATCACAATACATGATAATGCGCCTTCTCTGGCTTAATTAAAATTTTTGTGTCAATGAAGATTAAGATTAAACATTCTTTATACGTTATTGCCGACGGCCTGAAATTAGGTATATATATATTCAAATTGAAAATTCACTTTTTATATACACTTTTAGACCAAAGTTTGGTTCGTTCACACAACGGAATAGATCAATCCTTCAGATTAAATCAGAATGTCTATATCGGTTAAAAGCATCAATCAAGTAATTAATAAACATATGATTCATGTCCTTAATATACAAATGTAACGAGATAAAACAACTTTAGTACATACGATAGGGTTGGTGAGGCTGCAATCAATGTTAGGGTCTTGCATTATAATGGAAACGGATATTAACAGTACTTTTGGTTGCTGCGGTGAACATTTCATAAAGCTAACTTCTACCATAAAATACCAAGAGAATACCGAAGTCAACAAAACCATAACTCAAATTAAAAATCGATAAAACTTGGACAAATTATGAATAAAGAAGAATTGTATGGAGATCCTAAAAAAGGACGAAAATTGTAATATAAAGTGTTCGGAAGGGAACATCAACGACAATTGCCATGACAATCTAGGTCAAATCCAAGAAATGTCACGTTCTCAAATCGAGAATAAGGGTACTGACAACATAGCACCAAGGCAAACTGATAAGCATAATCAAAATCATCGACCTGGATATCAAACAAAGAAATACACAGTGGGTAGGAGAGCAGGGGTGTTTACTATTAACTACATATCATGAATGTGTAAATATCTTCCAACGTTGAAACATATGCTCGTAGTGAATGTGAAATATTATTATGATATAATGAATATAAGCTGATAGCCCCAGTTCCTCAGACGTATGCTAGAGTTAACCAGTGACAGGGAAAAAAATAATTATCAATATCACATGATACATGTATCAATACACTGTTATAGATTTAATGAGTCAAATAAAATTGACGTGTTTTGAGGATTTCTTCTGCTTTAAAAGCCCTCTTTCTTACTGGCAACAATTTGAATTTTCACTAAAAACTATTAAAAAATAACCAACCGTTGAGTAACTGGGGCCTGATGATCAATATAATAATACATATTAGATAAGATGGATGTGTGTTTTTGTTTATTTTCAAATTTTATGACAAATACTTTAGTTATTTTCTTTTAGATACATTTCAATTTAAATAAAGGCATTCCTTTTTTTTTAGAATTATGTACTAAGTGAAAGACAAAAAATAGGATATCGAAGCGTAAATGAGATATCTTGTTTTGATACATTTCAAAGTAAAATAAAACCGTTATTGTAGTATTATGTATTGAGTGATAGAAAAAAAATGAATATCGAAAGGTTAACCAATTATATTGGTTTTTAAACATTTTAAAGTTAAAAAATCAAAACGTTTTTAAGCATTATGTATTAAGTGATAAAGAATTGAAATATTGAAACTAAGGCAACGTATGAACAAAGAAACGATTTACCTTGATAACCATGTAAAAGTACCAGGAAAGATAGACCAGGGCCCGTATTCATGAAGCTGTTCTCTTGCTCAAACATAGAATTTGTGCTCAAGCCGGTTTTCTTTTTTCGGTTAAAACTTAATGAAAAAGTCTCACTTTGTCAATTATTTGAAACTGTTTCCAATGCTTACATTTGGCCTTTTGATCTTTTGACACGCTTTAAGCTAGTTACAAGAAATTTGGTTTGAGCACAGAATCCATGCTTGAGCATGAGAATAGTTTCATGAATACGGGCCCTGGTGTTTGGGAAAGTTAAACTAACATACGAGAGTCAATAACTCTGATGATGTAGATAAAACTACTAAAAATATTGGATTTTAAAAGTAACATATGATTGTTTCGATTTTGCTCTTGGCTGTCTGTACGTTTTCACTTTAATTATATATTTAACAACTCTGAAGAGTTATCACAAGTGCGACATCAAGTACAGTGTACACAATGTTAACGAAGTTCAGCAAATTCTACGTTAGTAGTAGATGATTATTCTTTGGTTAATATGTCTTTGCCGTTTTCTAGAATAATATCAAACATCGACTAAGATGTGACGTCATTGGCTTTTTGAGTTTGTTATTGACATGATGAATGTCACAAATCGATATACCCTTGTAGGTTCCTCCTAATCGGATACGGTATGGAGGCATTGGAAATACTTTTATTTATATGAATGCTTTTGACGTGAACATGGTCTTTATTTGATAACCGTCAAAACTCATTTAAAGATAAATGGAATTTAACAATTTCCCGTGAATATAAATTGATGCAAATGATTAGTTAACACGAATCCATATTCAGAAACAAATGTTCAAATTACAGGTATAATGAGTTTACATCAAGCTCCCTGCCAATCTGTTATTGTTTTCGTACTTTATAACAATTATATTATATAATCAACAAATACATCCATCAGCATTCAATGCTCATGGCCAAACGCCGATGTTGATTAATTATGCTGAAATCATATTGAGTTCCTAAGAATGGCACCTGCCCATAACCATTTCCCTAAAGTATATGAATAATGACTTTGTTTCAGAAGGACAGTACTTGGTTTATTATGCATGATTAAATACATATTCTGTTGACAACTAACAAGTTAGCACACAATTCATTTACATGGTGTTTGATGATAATTACGTCAATTCCCAGGGTATTAATAAATCAATGCACTAAACTGGTTTTTCTCCCATATTTTTTTTTATAATTTAGCAAATGGGTTTTGTTTAGGCTGAAACTTTGTCACGATTTTCTCAGGATCGATATCCTTGCTGGTTGTCATGTGCATACAAATAATTTGCATGTCTTTTTTGTGTTTTTTGTGTGTGTGTGTGTTTTTTTGTTTTTTTTATCTAATAATCAATTTTTGATCGAGAAAATATCACGAAATGCATTCAAATATAACGAATTTACGTCAAAAGCGTTTTATCTAAATCCCATTACGTCACAGACAGTAGTTCGAGACTGATTGTTATTTCCCTATATTCCTCATTGATTAGCTGTCAATGTTTAGCAAATCTATTTAAAGTAGGTTTTGACCATTTCTGGTGAATATAAGAAATTGTAAAGTATCTCCAGAAAGTCATAGGTCCACGTTTAGAGAATTTTGTGATCACATACCAGACAGACCTTTTCAAAATCTAGTGTCATATTTACAAAGGAAATTGTTGACTTTGTTTAGCTTTCTGTTTATCTACAAACAGGATTTTTAAACAGGTGCTTTCTTTCTTTGTATGGTCCCTGCAGGTAGGGCGTAAGAATTGTACCTGCTGCCCCCAATTGCATGATCGTAAGAGGCGACTAAATTTGGGACCTTATCTCTTCTCTCCTTTCTAAATAACTTTCTTCTTCCTAATGTCTCCCTTGACAATGCCTCACTTTTCGCCATTTGTTGAGCGTTCGCCCCTGTGAGGAAGGTTTTGGGTTCTGTCCCCTGGCCGAGACATACCAAAGTCTTTAAAAATGGTAGTTTCTACTCCTGCTTAACGCTCAGCAAATTAGGAGTGGGACGACTGGTTCGCCCGTTGTCAGTATAATGTGACCGGGTGTGGCGTCCTGCTGGGTGCTGGGTGTCTTCGGCATTATGTGTCAGTGAGGTAGCACTATAAAGTCGTCATCAGTTCCGCGCTATCACAAGGAGACAAACACGAACATATCGCAGCCTCCCAAAATACACACACATACCCTACACGCATGCATCTTGCACACAGGGGAGGCCGTTCTTAAATGACCTTAGCTGGTAATAGGACGTTAAACAAAATCAAACAAACAAATTGCAACAACTTTAATAAGATTCATCTTTTTGGAAATATTTGATATCAAATTGTACTTAATGCACAAATAATGAACGTTAAACGCGTCGCAAAGTTTCAAACCGACTGGTCTCCAACTGAAACAACTTTTATATACTTATAGTTATAACTGTTGTTGACCCATCGACAACTCCTAAGCACTTTCCATCCAAGGGAAACAGGATATCTAATACAAAATGGGAGGAAAAGAAAAATAGAATGTTCGTGCTGGACATTAGTTAAAAGGTGGAATGTGCTTTACCCTCTGATGTATATCGTAAAAGGTTCATATCGATCGGTACATTCATATCGATCGGTACATCCTTTAATTGGAACACACGGCGTAATTAGTCTCGGTGGCCACCAACGGGGCGGGTAAACAATACGAACGGGAAATACACAACAACAACAATCGAAACCATAATGAAGAGAACTACAGGTGACGCCAAAACAGCAGATAGCAAAATATCAACTCACAACATAAGTGGTTCTAGCTCTGGTGCTGGTCAATGGAAAGGAGTCTAAACACTCGAACTGACAGTGTAAAATATACAGCTCAACATTAGCCTTACATCAAACTACCATGAAACATTCACATTCAGTTTAACGGCAGAAACAGTATTTTGTATATAAAAATAATAATAAAAAGGCGTAAAGTGGGTAAAAGGATCAGAATCAAAGAGCCACCCAGGATAATAGGATAATAGGATAAACCATATATCCCAAGCGTTCAAGGCGGATAAATTTCTAGAGAATTCCGAATGGCCGCTTCCTGCTATTTAGCTGAACGCAAGTGACAATGTCTGTGAACTTAACAGTTTTTGTGTGCATGGTACAATTGTATATATTTATTTCCCAGGTTATGCATGTACACACAGGGTCAAAATATCATTCATCCTTATTAACACTTTTTGTTATTGATTTGTTAGTTTTTACATTTGTTCTATTTTCAGAAGACAAACGTATACATGACATCGCATCAATACTATACTTATACCTGTTGTAGTCACTTAAGAAAAACTCGTTAAGTTGGCATGTAGAAAATAGTTAGCAATTAAACACATATAAATTGTATATTATTAAATTGAGATATAATTGTTGATTGCTCATCACTTTCACTCTTATATGACGAGGGTATCATTGCGACATTAAGTTGTTTTCACATCAGCATATTTGCATTTTACGTCCATATGGGCACCAGCATATTTCAAACTTCAAACTGTAAGTTACACCCTTGTACACAATATATATAGTTCATTAATCGTGCTATGATTTACAAATAATTGGTACCTTTTTGACATGTTTTCACAAAGTTCATTGGCCATATATCATATACCTGACTTCTAACAGACAGAGAACCTATCATGATGTCACTTTAATTCGACAGTGTTAACTATTTTTGAATGGTTAGTAAAACAGTTTCGTTTCATGAACTTTAATATGAAAATGTATGAAACCTTTTCATGATGCAAACGTCCACGATACTAGACGGGGACATGCTTACCTCAAACGTGTGCACATCTTTTGATCGCGTCACATCCATGTGACGATTTTGGCATGGTCATGTACGAATGTTTTTAAATGCCGTGTCTTGTATTTGATGCTAGCAGTTGTATTTTATGACCGGAAGAAATGCCTTCCGAACAAAACAGAACCAGCTTTACATGTCATATTTTGAGTTCGAATTATGGTTTTCTTGTCGATGTACTCTTTTTTTTTACGATTATATTTTTTAAGAGAAAGTACCAAGAACTCGTGGAAAGAACGGAGCAATATATCAGAGAAAATTCAACATGATCAAAAATAGGACCTTTTCAGCTTTTTAGAATATTTGAAAAGTAAATCAACAGTGTTCTTTATTCTGTTAATTTCAGATTAATAAAATTGATTTTTGTGAGTTTTGTCGATTTGTTATTCTTTTTACATTGATTCGAAACATAATGTGCTCAATAATGCATGCGATGCAACAATTTTGTCGCAACACGATTTCTCACCCCAGCACGATTTCTCACCCTGATGAGACACATGTGCCGTAACACACGTGTCATTGTTGACAGATAATAGTAGAATTTTCGATTTATATTTAGATGCAATATTAAGTGCATTTGTTATGAAAATTTTAGTTATATCTTTCGTACAAATATAAGCGTTAGAGAAAATCAATCAGAAAAATATTTTGTGTTGATGAATTAAGGTTATGTCGAAAAATAGGTTACGTGAAGATATAGTCCCAATTTATTTTCCAACCGGAAGAGGATAAATGTAAACCCACCTAAGCTCAGTAGGTTGAACAATGTTGATGATGATATGAATTTATTTTTACTGATGTTTTGACTTGTAAGTAGTATCACGCAAATACTTTGAATGGCGTGTTGGTAGTGTTCAGCTTATCCATGTTCTTATTACAGCTTCCTTTGTGAATGCAAATCATTGCTCATATAATGCCACAATCGGTTCAAAATCTGATCGCACAAACAAACCACTAAGCACATGTATGCGTCTCTTGAATAGGTTTTACTTGCGTATGTCGTTAGGATTGCAAAACATTTAAGAATTCCTATCTATCTGCCGGTGTAAAATACCTCAAGTATAATTTCGTGATCCACTTAATCAAGAGGCAAAAAAGATAAAATAAAACATTAAGCCAACTCCCTTAAAATTAAATTAATAAAATAATCATAAAAGCCTAATTAGTTTTGGACTTACGTAGCCACCGTTCTTCCTTGACAAATGGAGGCATAAGTCTTTAATGAAACACACAACATATTTTATTACCCAATAGTCTATATAAATTATAATTAGTCATATTTGACTGTTTCTGGCTTTTTGTCCAATTTCGGCTGTAGGGGTGAAACAGTAAAAACTGTTTTCCCGGTCAGAGCGAACTGTTACCCGGCGCGAATTCGATGCGCAGAAATCCCCCCTCGAGAGCCCCCTTCAAGCGTTTCGGTGACCGCGACTCAGTGTTGAAGCAATGGCAACATTGCATGCAGCAGTGATACTAATATTTATTTGGAAATAAAACAATTGTTTCATGGCTATCTGGGGAACAGTCAAAACTATCATCCCTCGGTAGAGGGAAGCCCTGTGGAACTGTTTGCCCTTGGCCTAGGGGCCTCGGGCAAACAGTTCCCCAGGGCTTCCCCCTACCGGGGGATGTTAGTTTTGACTGTTCCCCAAATAGCCATGAAACAATTGTATAGTGTCAACAAGAACAAGAACCGATAATGCCTCCATGATGACCACGAAATCAGGTTCTTTGTGATCTGAGGCTCCAGTCGACAGGTCCAGACGCATGGAATGAAATTGCCACATTTGATTGACAACACTGATCACATGGAAAACGTTAAAACTGTTGATAAGGATTAATTGGGCTTTAAAATATCCTTGCTAGTAATCACTTATTGATCCAAATTGACCTTTAAGTTCAGCCCATTCCGTAAATGGAAGGCAAATCATGCGTAAACTGCTCAACTGAAAAATGATTGAGGATGTAGATTTGATTCCTAGAGTCAAACAAAGATAATTAAATTACACGAATCGTCAAACAGAGGCACTTCCCTCCGCTTTGATTTTCATATACTCTGCGACCATTACACTGAAGAATGCAGTGGAAATGACCAGGATCACACCAATGAAAACGATAAAGAAAAAGCTGTCCAAGACCTTCGCTAGATGTATCCATGTGAGTACTTCTTTGTCATGTTCACACACGCATCCTTCATTCTCCTCAACCGTTTTCTTTTCTGATATCCTCTTTGTCAGATGTTCTAGTCCAACTACGTTGATAATGAGGTTTTTCTCCGGGGACACGCGCCTGTTCTTTTTACAGTTGCATAGAAACCTACAACATCCGCCCGAACACGTGAGCCTCATAAGACATATGGTGAAGGAGCGGGCAAAAGCTGGAATTGGTTGTCCCTCTGCCTCTCGGTAATGCATATTTAACACAAGGATCGTACAAAGCACTGCCAGTGTCCCAAGACTCATTGTTATAGACAGGTAGATTGCTGAAAAAAAAGAAACATAGCGTTCATAAGTGTTTTTATACATTTAGCGGGGTATTCATAAACTAAAATGAGATTTGGTTTGGTTTGGTTTAGAATTGTTTAACGTCCTATCAACAGCTATGGTCATTTAAGGACGGACTCCCCTATGTGCAAGATGCATGCATGTAGTGTATGCGTGTGTGTTTTGGGTGTTCGTGTTTGTCTCCTTGTGATAGCGCGGAACTTATGCCGACTTTATAGTGCTACCTCACTGCAATGGTATGTCTCGGCCAGGGGACAAAACCCAAAGCCTCCTCACAGGGGCGAACGCTCAACTAAAGGCCAGAAGTGAGGCATTATCAAGGGAGACATTAGGAAGAAGAAAGTTGTTTAGAAAGAAGAGAAAAGATAGATCTCAAATTTAGTCGCATCTTACGATCATGCAATGGGGTAGCAGGTACAATTCTTAAGCCCTATCTGCAGGGACACTACTGAAATGAGAAATAAATATTTCTTCATTTAAGAAACATATAGCGTTCACCTTTCCTTTGTGACATAATTAATCGCTGTACAAACCGCTGTTTACGCCATGTAGTTATCAAAATTTGCTATCACCTGAAAACAATTATTTGAGGAATCTCATGCATAGATTGATCTTCTTACACAATGCAATTTAATTGAATTGGATACGGTTGCCATTGAAAAAGCTGGATATAAAACAAAAACACCGAAAAGAACGTCGCAGCTTCTTCTTCGTATCATCAGAATGTTCTAGATTTCATAACGCGACGTCGTTGTTGTCCCAATGTGACGTTGAACATACGAAGTGGATTTAAGATTATTAAAATCTCCCACCCTTTGAGGAAGAGATAAGGTAATCTCAACCCGAGGGGAAGATTCTTACGTCGCCAAGCACGAGGCTTATGGGGATGAATGTTTTTTTCCCTTAACATGTATACCCATTGTTTATGATAAACATAATATATTGTTACAGGTCTAATGCATAGTCGACGTGACATCATGGAATTGTTACAAATAGGGGAATCCACCGTCTCAACTCTAGGGTGAGACAAGGATATCTCACACAAGTAAAAGTGTGGATACACCTGTCAAGTGTAACAGAAAGAAATTACTTCTTTCCTGTTATCGACGGTTCTGTCACATACGTACAGGAAATTAGAATACTTCTTGTTCGCTGACAACAATGAATAACCAACCTGCTATTGGGCGATACGTATCTGCATCGTCCACTTAAGTTATATCAAAGTCTATCGTACCGGATTTTATTGTATTATCTCATACACAAGTTTAGAATAAATGCATATGGAACCTAACACGAACACCTACTACATTACTTACAGAGGTATGAGACGGTGACTGAAGTGCTTGGAATGTTTTCGGATATCAGGGTCAGGTACACGGTATATGCCAGGAGAACGGTCAACGAAAATCCAATCTTCTCGCCGGAGTCTGCTGGAAGTTTAAATACCATTGCACTCAGGAACGCCATTAGCACTACCGGAAATAACGTGTTGAGAATGTGGAACAATGGTCGCCGTCTGAGATTGATGGTGAATTTCAGATTTGAGTAAGTTGTTCCACCTCTAGACTTAAGCGCTTCCGTCTTGTCACCCGAACAGCTTATCATCTCCCATTCCCCATTCTTCGTATAGAAATCTGTGACCACCTCTCTAGGGGACATCCGTAGTGAAACCTCGTAATTAGTGTATGCCCACGATGAAAGTGAGATAACACACGACTGCATGTCCATCGGATAGTACGTGATGTCGGACTCACAGGCAACAACGTATACATCAGCCGGTCTCCAGTAAACGAGTCCTCTCTTTAGAATCCGCATTGGTATATCGTTGTTGCTGATTACCGAAAGGTCGGTTATTCTGAAAAGTTATCAGAAAGAAAGCATTACAACAGAAAGGATACACATACAGACACTTTTTAATGTTCCCTTTATTTTGTTTAAATAATTTATGCTGATGAAGCACATCGCATACTAATATATAGGTTTTATATGGTAAGAAATACCTGCCTAAAAATCATATTTCACGAAACGTTTTATAATGTTTAAATTATGATCAAACATAATTATATAAGGATAGTTTCTTTCGTTACAAAGGCGATAAAACAATGCATTTTGGAAGGGTAAGTCCAACCGTTCTGATAACAAGCCTCCAAAACATTAGAGTGTATAGGTCATCAACTACCTATTCTTGATACCTGGAAAATGTCGTAGCAAAAAAGAAGGCTCAGTGTGACCGCCTTGTGGATGAGACGTGAAGACTAGTTTGATCAAATGAATCTGTCGGTCGCGTAATGTTGAAGTTGACTGGCTTTGAAGTCGGGTGTCGCTCCTCTAACTTTCAAAGGACAGGTAACAGCCTTAGCGATTGGCCAAGTTTGTTTTTACCGGAGACCAATCAAATAGTTAGTCGTGTGCCTTCCATTTTGCTATGACATATTCAAGGGGTGCAGAGACCGAAAGTGAGAATAACCCCTGGAGTATCGAGAATGCCAACTACCTAAACAAATCACTAAAAAGAATGTAAGGAATCACCTGGTCAAACCTTATTTTGCTAATGCAGAAAGTCAAACAAATGAAATATTTATGGTACAACATGACCAGTTCGTCCATTAAGGTATCGTCAGTGGTACTTAGCTCAAAACAATGAAACCATGTCAGAAGCGGTCTAAAATATAATTAGAAATACAGCAACAGACGGAAGATGTCTATACAAACCTTATTATACGTTACAAGTTTACAACTATAGAAATGTGGGAGAGTAACCGCAATATAAACAAACGGACTGAAAATGCCAAAGTTATGATGTCCCCCGAAAATTTACCAAATAATTACTCATATGTGTTTTTGTTTTGTTATATTATATATCTTTTTCAATAGTAGTTTGATTCTTACGAGTTATCGACAACCAGTGTCGGCCGCCAGAGTTCTTGTTGTGTGGCAAACAGGTTTCGGACGTTTGTGAAGTCGGTCATGCTGGACCAGTCAAGACGGTCGTCCCTCCAAATCTGCAAATACCATATGGTTATATTCCTTATTTACATCATTTTAATAGTCCATTAATGCAAAGGTAATAACTTTACCTGACCATCAAGAAATAAAACACTCGACTATATTACTTGAGGTATATAGACTATAGTAATTGAAATGTTGAAATCTATGATACTCTAATTATTATTTTCTGTGAATATGTATTAATTGGTTCTAGTATTCTCCTATTCATTTAATTATATATTTCATCTTCTCTATATTACTCTCTTCCCTCTCTATATATATATGAACGTATACAATGTGTGCATTTTCTTCTGGAAAGGTCTTTGATAGACAATGCTTGTGCCTAATCCAATTGTGTCTTAAATGCAATAAAATTAATTTAAAATGAAAAAAAAAGAATTAAAATAAGAGTATAGTTTCAAAATGTTTTTTTTCACATCTAATTCTTTATCTAATCAGGTATATTCTCTGAACAAAAACACAATTGTAGTATGTTAAGATGATATTGATACATATATACATCTACATGTAACACCATTACATTCTGTAAAAAAAACCGTAATATCAACTTACCAAATTGAAATATCCTGATAAGGAAAGTGTCTGATCTTTAATGTTCTGAAATGAAAACATGATTTTGTTTTACTTGACATATCTTCATCGATATTAAAACAGTCACAGTCTCTAAAAGTCACAACCCCCCCTAACGCTCAATTATGCAAAACATCCTCCAATTTGGCAATATTGAATTAACTAAAACTTTGAGGTTGTTTGGGACAGAGAAGTTTTTATTAGGCGCATGTTTATGTGATCGAAAACTGAAAAATAAGAAAGCTAATAAAGATGTCATAAGACACCATTTCTCTCCTTTCTGCTTCTTTATTTTCTCCTCCTTTTTTCTTTATCTCCTTCTTTTCTTTCTGCTTAGAAGAACAACAATACATACACTTGAATTCGGTTAAAACGTTCACTTCAATATAACTTTTTTATGTTTGTTTTTGCTTTAGTATCATATACTAAGGTGATTTTCCTTTGTTAGTGTTGTTGATTTTTTAGAATACAATATCAATATCAATTAGGTAAATAATGGCAAAGTATGAATTGCGAAAGAGTGAGCGTGCTGATTAGAATACAGAGTGAATGTTAAAAATGTAATTTACTGTTACCAACATTCTGAAAAATATTTTTTTTAACAAAAAAATAAAATAAAATAAAATGCAGAAGCCAATTAAAATTATTGTTAACTTGGATGGCTGCCATTATCGATTCTCAATTACAATTAAACTGTATATTCCCTGATTAATTTTGTTGAAGGCCATGAGATCTTTAATTTTCTGATAATGTCTTAACTGTACCTGTTAGAGGAGCGTTTTTGTTTAGTTACTTTTAATTGTTCTTTTCTTTATTTTTTTCTTTCTTTCTGCGTTCTTTATGTCTTTACTTTTTCGTGTATATTCTTATTCCTTGGTTATGATTTATATCTATTCTAATATCTATTGAAGTCTCCATAATAAGACGATATAAAGACGGGTATCAATAAGTATTTATACATGTTTTTTACTATGAGTAAATTTAATTCGACGTGGCCTTTCGAGGTATTATGTATTCATGTTGCGTTTCTTCGTGAGGACTTCATAACTTTTAAAAGTAAATATCGCCGTATCTAGAAACCTCGTTTTCTTTCTTTTAGAACTATTCAGTGAGAGAGTAATGATTATCAGAGAAAGGCGATATCTAATTGGAAAAATAAGTTAACATTCCTCTTCATTTTAAGGCTTTTAATGTCAATTGATTATCTTGTACGAATAAGTAATTTAAAGTGTGCACCACGTACCATATCGTTGACTGTGAGAAGAGTTAACCACAGTGTAACATCGACTTTCTCTGTTGGCCGCTGGAGTCTTGAGTAGTTTGTAAACAGTAGTTCCCTTAGGGCTGCCTCTAAGTCACGTGAATACAATGCTGGACTCTTAATACTTTTAGCGCCTCCTCTTTGTGCAGCAATTAGGGTGGCGGTACATAGGAAAAGTAGAAAACCTGGAAAGGGTATTAATTGATTGTCATCCAATAAAACGACATTTGTTTTACGTTCATATGAACAAAAATATCAGAGAATTTTTGTTTTGTGTCATCAATGATCATAAAGGCGAAAAGAGCAGATCAACTCCTAATTCCCGAACCAATCAATTCCCTGGTTTGTTCGACGTACCAAAAGAAACCATTACACAAAATATAATATAATATCGTTTTGGTGTGCATAAAGAATATAATCATTTATTATATTGAGATAACAGTTTAAATCGCGGAAGGGTCATTAGTAAACGTTGTTTTTTTTTCAAATAAATTCACACGATTTTATAACATTAATCTATGAATTGAATCTGTTACAGTGTATCTAATTTTTTAGCTGATGTCTTTCTGATACCATATTGCAGTTGTTGCACCCGGAATATTTATACTCGTTTAGTTTTGTTTGATGTTTCATTGTAAACATACATAAAGATTTATACATTTGATCATCATGTTCTTCCTAACATGTAACAGTTATATGGATGTACATGTAAAGATCTGACTTCTGAAAATGCCTATCACAAACTGTTTACGTGCGTACTTTAGCGCATTGTTTAAACCTAGCAGATTCGCTCATTGGTGAATTGGAGAATCCACAACACATGAAATAGACAACAATATGCAGAAGTTTTTATCGTGTAATAATAAATTATCGCAATATTCAAGCGCGAAACGTACTAAAGTAAAACTAACGCTAACATATGTGTGCTTACATTATCAAATAAGATCCATTATGAATCGATCATCTAAGCAAATGTTTGCTATTATCAACAAAATTATTCTGAATTCTGTATTGATTGACATTTAATTACGAGCTGGTGCCTATCAGAAAAGGTTATCGGATAATCTTGACAGATAGACAAACATATACAAAAATGTTCAAATGACCTTTGTTTATGGTAACTATTAAGCGAATATCGAATTCAAATATAGTGCAAAGGGAAGCTAAAGAATCAATGTCAATTATAGTTTGTTTTGATGTTACCGTGTAAAAACGTGTTAAGTCAACAATGCATTGATATTTCCCTTGACAAAGCAGAATGTCATTGGAAACAGTATTCAATCAATATATACAATTACAGTGACATTTCATTCTCATGATTGGTAAAACTGTACTATTGATTTTATACATAGTCCTCATCGTTCATAACAAGCTTCGCTGATAATACATGTATAACTTTGCAGTGATAGCCGGAATATGTACATAATGAACTGTTTAGAAAGATAGAACATGATATTAGGGATAAAAAAGTAACTGATGGAGTTTTACCCGGTTGGATACTTTTACTTATACGTTTATATTTGAACATTTGCAAGGAAACCATTGTTATTTTATTTTTGTAACTTTTTCCTTTGTTTTTCAACAAAAACTCCCTACGAATAAAAATGCAATAACAGCATAATTGTATGTTTCATCGGAATGAAATATGATCACATCCAAAAGCATGAAAGAAAATTAGCCCGAGAACAACTTTATCTGATCAAGACGTCACATACAAACGGTTATGCAGATTTTGTTAGTAATTACAAAAACGTTACTGGTACATGTGCCTATAGTATGTGTTGTTGGGGTGGTCGGATGGCGCAGGTTGGTCAGATGACGCAGATGATTGCACACTTGTCTTTTACCAAAACGGCCGGGGTTCGATTCACCGATCGGACGTGAAAAGATATTAGGTCACTTGCCTGACCACATGGGTTTCTCCGGGTACTCCGGTTTCCTCCCACATTAAGAACACCGCGCGCTAACATCCGAGGCAACAAGAGTGATTAATATAAGTTGTAAAATCATAATTGTTGTTATGTGTTATGTGTTATTGTGTTCTCTACAGCAATACAGTGGAACTAAACAAAAGTGTTGTGTTCCTATAACGATTTCATATTTAGGAAACAATAATTATTTTTATGACGAATTGATACCATAAGAAAAACTGGAAGCGCAATCGACATAAGTTTTTTTATCGTGAATTTAAGTTTAAGGTTTCGTTACATTGCGATAAACGACACAGTTTAAAAAGCAGAGAAACAAAAGAAAGGATATTAACTCACCCCACTGTAATGCTCGTGGTGCTTCCTTTGCATTAACCATATCGTCAATTAGATAATACTCCTACCATAGTCAGGAACAAAAATGAGTATGTCTTGATGGGTATATTTCAATTTCAGCTATGCCAATTATAAAAAAAAATAATCCTGCTTTTAATGTTATGTTGATCAATATGTCGGAGACCAATTCAAAGTTCTTGTAAATACTAGCGTACCCCTATGGCTATTGATTTATGGATCGCTTGCCATATGAAAGAAGATGTGTTAGCTTAATTTCACGTCAATTTTACATTTTAAAATTAAAATTTAAAACATTAATACACCTTAGAACAATGCTGCAACGTAGTCAATTGGGATAAACATAAGTGAAAACATTGATTAACAGCATTTATGTTCTTCGTAGACATATTCAATGGGGACCAATGAGAAATTCTACAATATGATATCACTATTTTATTTTTTGATTAAAAGTATTAAATATTGATGTAAACATACACTATTAAAAACAGGTTAATGTTCTAAGTAGTTAAAACCATATTATTACATGCGACTTTCAAGAGTAGTCGAAGATTAATGGTATGACGTCGACAACGGTGAGTTAATGGCAGAGTTAAGCATGGGTTCTCTCTGTTTGATGGTAGCTTTAAGTTTTATGGAAGTTGTTTCTTGTTTTGATGTATGTTAACGGATAAACAGCATATCTCTCACTGCGTTTGTAAACACTATAAATTCCCACCATGACAGCTGTATCTTGTGTTAATGGACGGGTATACTTTTAGATGCAAACTTTAACCTTTCTTCAACGTGTACAGTCAATTTATTCAATCATAGCCACATTAGTCACCTTTTTTGTACGCCAATTATGCCAGATATGGCAAGAATATTTGCAGCCATATATGAGGTCTGGTTAATCCTATTAACCTAGTGCAGTGTGCTTACTCATCGTAACAAGTTTCTTTCGTTGGTGTTATTTTATGGAAAATTCAAACCTGCATGGATAATTGGCAATATTAATAAGGTTTTGTATCATTTTATAACATGTTACTGAAAATCTGTAGAAAGTAGGAGACATTTTAACACTTTGCCTTCTCCCATTTCATTTTCAAAAGATCATTTTTTTGTTGTTTTCTTCATCAAATCACTGTTGTTACTAAGTCATGGTATGGGGTGCTGCCAGTAGTACTATTCCGTCTTTGCGTATTGTAGAGTTATCTGCTCTTGGGAGCAGGTATTGATTGTTACATCATTGGTTTGTGAGAGTAACGTCATCAATTTTTGAGAAAACGACGTAATTTTCTCTCACAAACCAATGACGTAACAATCAATACCTGCTCCCAAGACAAGATAACTCTGCAATATGCAAAGACGGAATTGGTGACGGCGAAACAGAAGCAGACCCGCTGTCACCACCGCTAACGTCGTCACTCCGGGTACCGCCGTGACACATACTTGGTGAAGGCTTTTATTTTGTCCACTTTGAGGTGATTTAGTAATTGCTTGACGTTGTTGACTGTAGCTTCAATTCTTTCATTTTCAGTTTCGCATTCTCGACTTATTTCTACTTTATTAAAGTTAAACGAAATACCGCTGCGTTTATCCGGTTGTTCATTTTTCACATATTGATAAATTTGCATCTGAAGCGAGATTACGCTTGCAAGTTCAGATGCAAGTTATCAGCTTTCGGTTGGAATAGCTATGGTTAGCTGGTTTCGTATTCAGTGATGTAAAACATTGCAAGGCTCTGTAATATGTTCAGCAACCTGAAGAAAGCGAGTAAATCGGTTTGTTTTGATATTAATATTTTCTACTTAAGACGCCTAACTTACTCTTTGAAGAAATTTCTGGCCTTACCTATCGTCCACTTCTAAATTTAAAATCATGCTTTTTTGGAAATGCAAATACTATACTGCATTACAAGTTTGGCATCAAATATTGTTACTCGATTTTTTCCATACTTAATATAAACGTCTCTTTTGTGAAATTTTGTATTCTTCAGATTTGATAATGTAAATAATTTTGTGAAGAAAAAACAGAACAATCGACATTTAGTTTGTTCAACAGATTAATTACAGTGAATTTTACAAAATCGATGAATTTGTTATTTACTTTCTTTATATACAGCGTGTTTCATTATATGCTTAACATTTAATTGATATAGTCAATTATTACTTGATAAGCACATATTTACGTCGATGGTTTCTTTGCATTATAAAGAACTTTGTTTGTTCGCGTATGTTTACGCTTTATTGATTGATCCAATTAATCAGATCCTGTCTGTTTCGAACTACTATGTATCGTCATAAAGCGGCATTTCAATGAGAGAGCAATACCCAAGGTAAAGGACAACTTCAGCTGCTCGTGCATGTTAACCTTGTCTTAAACTTTAAATTTAGATGACCCTAGAATAATTCCTCTTTCAGCATAGTCTTGTTCTACATATCCATACAACTGTGATATATTTTGCTACTTAGTGACTAAAGATGATGTAAGAATTACAAAAGGTACGACGGTATCAACAAAATAATGTACAGTGCATTTTATATGTAGAGATTCAGTTTATATATTAACAATTTATATATTTTAGAGTTAACTGTTGAAAATTTCCAGGATTGAATGTTGCGATATTTTCTTATATTTTCTATTGGTGTTTTTAGGGGTGCACTAGGCCAACATGTGATTGGTGAAAACGTTTCGAAAGTTGACCTGTCATGTGACTTCAATTCAATTCAATTTTATTACATGTACCAAATATACATTACAAATAACTCATTTTTTTTGGTCACAGCGCCGGTGGAGATGTGTTTCAAAAATTTCATAGAAATAATACTTGCAACAGTTAAGAGTTTGTGAAAAAAAGACATGAACACAATATTTTGTATTTTAGAAAGGTTTATTAACCAATAAAAAATGAATAAAATCCAATATTAACAGTGATGCTTGATTAAAACGCCAAATCTTGAAGAACAGATTGTTTCTGGAAATGAAAATAAATAAATTTGGTGGACTTCTGTAAACATTACCCTAGTTAGACCTTTAGCATTAAAGCCTTGATAACTTCATGACCTTGATATTTTGGATCTTGACAGAACTAACTTTGAAAATTTTACTCAATAAATATCGTATACCGAGATGTCATTTCCGTAAGTGAAACAATGAAGGAAAGAAGATGGTCTGAATACGTTTATTATTCTTTCATTCGACTCCTTTCATTTTGAAAGAATGTCATTGTCATTGAAATATTTTGTTAGTACATATTTTAGTACATACAAAGTATCACAAATATCTTTAGAATCCTTACAATAAAGAAACACAAAGTGAATAAAACAAGGCCATCTTAAATATTATTTCCAATCGATTGGTCGGTCTACAGACGAGACATACACCAAATTTCAAAGTCATGGGTAGTACAAAATTAATGTTGTTTAACCATATGCTAAACTTCGTCATTGGCTTTAGCTGGAAATTTATTTTGTCATTTTATGAATATCTTTTTGTGACATTTTTTTAAGGATTTACTTAAAAAATGTCACAAAAAGATATTCATAAAATGACAAAATAAAAGGTCCATAAAATAAAAGGTTTCACTATTGAAAATAGGTTAATTTTACGTTTTTAATTGATTGACAGTAAAATGCCTTTCGATAGGGAAGCTTTGCCCGATATATGGATGCAAAATTGCTCCTTGAACTTAGGACAAAATAATTAACTAATTGTAAGACAAAATAGCACTTAAAAATTGAACACACTCCCAAACAAGGGGGTGAACATTTGCCTTGATAACAATATCCATATATACAGATAGTACACATGTTACATTTCTATGAGTATGGAACTCATAGGTAGATGAAGACTTCATGTGAAAAACAGTCTCATCGTTGTTTTAAAATAAATACAAGCAAATCAGAAGTTTCATCAAATATGGAAAAATATACATACGAACAATATAAAACATATAGCAACTAAAAAAATATATTTAAAAGTAGGAACAGATAAAACATAGTTTAACGTATGATGTAATATTTTCTGCGGCTTCTAAGACTTACAATATATTATATATGATGAAGACACGTTGCATACATGCTAGTTTGGGCAAATATAGTTTAAATTTATGTTCAGAGTATAAATGTATTTATTGAAAATATGTCGAGTTGAATAATTAAAATATCTTTAAGAATAGATCGACTCTACTAGAAATAAAAGGTATGCTGTTTCAAGTATCATGCAGTTTTACATACAGTGCGTTGGTCACATTAGGTAACGTTAATCAGCATGGCATATAATACATCAATATACATACAAACTCGAATGGAGGCAATAACCGCCTTACAGCACAGGTAATATTTGTGGCTAATGCTTTCAAAGCATTCAATGGGAATTAGTACAAACGCGCGGAGAGCGGGGGTAATGAACTCACTCAGCCATATTTACCTTTGCCAATGTATTGGACAGATATGTTTGCTCGAGTAATTAAACTGTAGTTATGTATATTATGGCCAATTCACGATCTGTTGTGTGGGTCTTGAGTACACTTTATTGAATGGGTATGCTGTCGTCATGACAGTGCAACAGACGAATGTCTATATCAACAATTTATATCAATTTGAAAATCTATCTGAAAACTGTTTTTATGTGATATGTTTCAAACCATATAAATATATGTCGTTGAATAAATCACAAATTAAAAACGAGTAATTATTGACTTTTGAAAAGATCAAAAAAGGGGAATTAGTACAGGGATCAAAACCATTGTAGCGTCTGGAGAAATAAAAATATATTCATGTACATATATACAAACAATATATTACAAACAACGCCAAATCAATTATGTTACGCAATCAAGAAGCGCAATTACCACACAGACCATATAGAAATCTGTACCAGTTATTTATCATTTAAGGAATAATGGTAGGAAGCAATGCTTATTGGCTGTACGATTAATTACCAGGTAATTATGGTTAACATTTGGTGCTGACACAAGAGTGCTGATAAGAAAGCACGCGCATGTGTTCCATACGTATGGTAGGTAATCATAGTTGTATATAAGAAGACTGACCTGATAAATGTACAACCAAAAGAAACTATTCAACATAACTGTTGCTGATCTTGACAATACATCTTTCAAGTGTTAAGCAGGTTTCCTTTCTCTTATTTTACATGTGTTGAACAGTTTTTTGTTCTGATTTGGTATAGTATAATTTTTTTATATAGTATAAAGTTAGTGGGATTTGTACAAGACTAAAACCAGATAAATAACATATCCGATAGTATGCCAGACTGTTTTTATGATTTATCAGTTATTGAAGTATCCAAAACCGAATTCTGCATGTGATTGATAATATGTGAGTCAAGAAGTTGCTCCTATATGCCTACTGCAGCGTTTGTTTTGTGCCATGGCAAGTGTGACAAGCTAGTGGAAGTCGCACATAAATCTTTTGTCATCATGTAATCGGCTAGTATATATGCTTCTGTATAATACATTGTATGTTTTTCACCGAACATTGAATAGCAAAGGCAACAGAAATACACTTCACTTACATCAAACTTTATAAAAAATATTGATAACTACTTTATATGACAAAACGAGATGCATTTAAGTGAAATATGTGTCTCTTTTGAGAGTTTATGGAATCAATTTTTTTAAAAAAAGGTGAGAACTGGGAAATATGTGCTCCTTTTTCATATATCGACGTATCCTTCAACATTTTAACATTACATTATAATAAACAACAATACTTTGCGTGGAGCTGCAGGTTTTAACAAATAATCAACATACAGTATATGCGTGCATTATGGTGAAATATACAACGGCGGTGTCAAAATGAGGTAAAATATGCCGCTTAGGATTGAATTATATATTCTATCATATATTCAAATCTATTTTTTGATAACATCTATTTTACCACGTCAAAATGTAAAAGAATATGTCTTCGTTTCTTTTTCAGTTGAACAATGTAAAAATCGAATTAATCAAACAAAGATGAGCTTTTGTGCATGCACAAATTTGTCTCGTGGTGTCTCGTTTTCATTTTTGACCAACAAGCTCTCGGTCTGATGTCATAGTAATGGACACTGCAACCAGTACTAGTGGTTCTATTCTGCCAATTCATGTGAATGCGTGTGAAATATTTAGATACATTTGTATACATGTTTCCTCACTCGACAAAGCATACTCGTCAAAGACCAGTGACTCCAAGAGCTCTTGTTTAAATTAACTATAAAGGGAGGGTTTTGGAAGAGCGTTGCAAGTGCTTTATCTTCCAATGTATCTGAGCAAATATATCGTGCACGCGAGTGCTTATTGGTCATAAACTCATCAATATTAACCAATGAAAAGTGTTTTGCGTCGCTGAGATGGTAGAATACGTGAGAACAACTTCATCTTGCTCTTTAATACACACTGAGCGTGAAACGTTCAAGAAAATGCGAGATGCATGTTTTTTTAAACAGATAATGTATTTTCCAAGTATTTTAATGCAATAAGCAAGAAATACCCAATAGAGGCGCTTAAGATAAGTATCATAAACACCATAAAAAAGAAGTTGTCCAGCACTCGTGATACGACTTTCCAGTCAATATTTTTCTCCCTTTGACATTCGTCGCTGTCCTCTGGTTCCTTCGGGATGGCCGTTTTATCCGTTATAGTTACACCAACATCAAAGCAGTCGTCGACCTGGATTGTCTGTACGCGCTTGGATACAGGGCGTACTTTAGTTCCTCTCTTGCAGCTTTTGCACGTGCAACCGTTCCAGCAGGTGATCTTCATCAAACAGACGGTGAGCACGTAGAGGCAGCCAGGAATGGGTTCTTCCTCGTCTGGGTGGTTGTACAGTGTCACTGTCACTATTGTACAAATGACGGCCAGCGTTCCCAGAGTCAGGACCATCGACAGGTAGATTGCTGAACAACACAACATATCGTAAAATGAGGAAAAGTACTTCTTATACATATTTTACTGTAATCCGAAAAAAATCGCCATTTACCGTGAAGATAAGTATTTGTCAAATATTTTGTTTGCCATTTATAGTGAAAACAATTTTAAAGGTGTTGAATGATATCCATTGTCAAGAAATATTCATCCTTGTAATGAAAGGCGAATTAGGCGAAAGCTTCCCATTGTACAGCTTATCTTGATTTTCAAACCTTGCATTATGTAATGTCGGGTATATATTAAAGTCAAAACTTATCAACTTACATTTGAATTCGGGATAGTACTGATTTCAAGAAATCCCTTTCGTTAAAAGGAAGAATGATCATAACATTATCGCGAAAAGTAAGCAACATAAACGAAATTAAAATGATTTCACAATGCACTTTTCAATACCTTTAGTGTTGCACTCCACTGTTTAGTACATACATAGCTTTTAACACCTGTCTAAACCGAATGTTTTTCATTAACCTGTTTCTGAATTCCTTTGATTTTTGCTTTTATAAATAATGTTTGTTATTGTTAAGAAAACAAATAGGATATTTTAATCAAACCAGACCTTCACTTATTGTATATGGAAATGTGCATTTAGTGAACATGTATGATATGAAATCATCAAACTTAAATGACTGATGGATGAGCTTGGTTTACAAGAAACTTAAAAGGATCGAAAAACAACTAGAGAATATTGAAGCGTCAATAAAACAATAATTCGATTCCAACACCGATAAAACTAGGGCAAATTATGAACAAAGGAAAGATTTGCATGAAGCCCCCTTGAAGAAGAACAGGAAAAAGACCAGGTGTTCCGGAAGCGTAAGACCAACGAGGACTTTTTTCGAATACAAAAAATGAATGACGTTTAAAGGCTACATGTACACCTGTTGTTCGACCTAATGAGTGTTCGATAAGGATAATTATGAAATTAAAGAAGTAAGATCAAACAATTTACTTACATAAGTAGCAAATTGTGATGGAAGTACTTGGTATGCTTTCGGAGATCAGAGTCAGGTACACAGCATACGCCAACAAGACGGTCAAGGCGAACCCGATCTTCTCTCCCGAGTCGGCTGAAAGTTTGAATACCATGGCGCTCAGTACAGCCATTAGTGCCACAGGAAAAAGCGTGTTGAGGATGTGGAAGAGAGGACGACGTCTCAACTGGATGTAGAACTTTGCGTTAGAGAAGCTGACATCTCCCTTCATTTTGTCCGTCGTTCCCTGTCGATCTCCGTATGCACTAATCAATTCCCATTCTCCGTTTTCTGAATAAGAGTCCATGTTTACTTCTTCTGTTCTGTCTAATGCCAAGACTACTTCTTGACTTGTGTAGGACCACGAACTAAGGGAGATAACACAGGACTGCGTGTCCATTGGATAATAAGTGGTGTCGGATTCACAAGAGACCCGGAATATATCCGCCGGATTCCACACGACCTTTCCATGGCTTAGAATACGCATAGGCACATCTGGTTTACTGATGACATTGAGGTTGTCGACACTGCAATATTTAAAAAAAAAATGATAATACGTTTTATCGTCGAATAAAAATAAAGTTTATTTTCATATATAGCTTAAATCATTAGAGAGAACATTCACTCTGTATTGAAACATATAATTTAGATAAACGATTAGGGTGGCTCGTCTTTGTACATTTTACATCGATGACATTATTTCGAATATTGAAATCATATTGATATTATTTCATCCATTTCATTACGCAATAAATAGTTACACTTGACATGACTTTAAAATAACCAACTGTATATAAATAAAAATAACAGATCATTATAGCAATGAAAAATATATTTCTTACGAGTTGTCAACGACAAGAGCTGGTCTCCATACGTAACTTTGGGAACTGAACAGGAAGCGGATATTGCCATAATCTGGTAGGCCTATCCATGATAGGCGACTATCAGGCCACGCCTTGAACAAGCAAATCAAGACGGGAAAAGGTCAATAATGTATATCATACAATCAACCCATTGTCAGTCTATTTTCAAGGATACTTGTTGTTGTTGTTTGTACATATATTGGATTTGAGTTTTCATTTTGCACTTGTGTGTTGAATTTGATAATAAAAGATCCCCGTCCCACTGCCCTGTAGTTTTTCGTATATACAGTATTTTTTCCTTTAAATTTCATGTTTGATATAACTGTAGCTCATTTGTGCCGGGAAACTTCCGTTCACCAGGTAGCTCACTCGGTTAAATAAAACTGAAGTCGTGGTCTCGAATAACCGGGCCTAGCTACAACATTATACTCACAGGAAAATGTTGTTGATTGTATTTGTTTATTAAATCTTTATTATTATGTCATACTAGTCCCCAAAGGTTGGCTTTATTTTCAAAAAAGTCATAATAGGGAAAAAAAGGGAAGTAGTGGTACGGGGATCCTTAAAATTCGATAGGAACAAGACTTGAACTGAGATTTAGCCGTGTAATGTTTTTTTCACATAGTGCAATGAATCTTTTATTAAATCATAAAAAAGTTTAAAGAAATATACTTATCATTCAGTTAATTCTTATTCAGTGTTTTCCTTTACGATGTACTGTTACTGATATAATTCAGTAGTTAACTTTTTAAAGATAAAATATGATATTTAGCGTAAAATGCATGTAAGAGATAAAAATGTAGTTATATAGAAGGAATGTATTCCGAGATTTCGATTTGTTCGGAATCACACTATTGATTTTTAAAGGTTTGTTTTCATATTCACTGTTGATATTTAGAAATCAACATGTTATCATTTACATTGTGTTTTCATTGCGAACTTACCAAGTTAAAATACCCGGATATGGACAGGACCTGACCCTTTATGTCCTGAAATTAAAAGAGAGTTTCATTATAAGCTATCAAAACACTCATGATACAATTTCTTAGTGTATTATGCTATTAGCAATCGGTACATAATGAAAGTATTCTATCCTGCCAAAGTCTTGTAAAACATTTAAATCAATTATTCTACTTTTCTATTCTCCTAAATATTTTCGTTGGTCATAGCATAATCATTAGACATCGGTTTAAAGCTAGAAACGACATTAAGGTACTTCAGAGAAATATACTTTCTATTAGCATGAGGAAAATGTTTAGAAACTTCCTAATAGCATTTTGGTCAGAGCATAGTGACGCCGTTATAACGAGACGGTGGCAAGTTTGTAGCATTTTTTATATTTCCAGCTAACGATTCAATGCTTGAATCTTTCTGTAGGAATACTGGTGGATAATTTCGTACACCCTTTTTTTTAGGAAAAAGCATATCAAATGGATGGCTGTGGTAACTTTGAAAGTTATGCATATTTATGTGACAACTTAAAAAGATATACATGTGCACATAAATGAAACCATCGGTATTAATTTTTTAAATATACTGTATATGGATATATATATTATCTGCATTATTGAAGTGTTTGTCGTCCGAGAAACAATATTTTTTACCTGTAAAATATCAAAATTGATATAATTGATTCTTAATTCGGATTTCAAATAATTTAAACACCAAAACTTGACATTTTAAGCTAACCATTTTGCCATAGATCGATTACATTACAAACATCTTTTGCTATTTTTTTTTGTCAAAATATTGACCTTTTTAGTCTTCCTCGTGAAAACGTATATTTAGAATTCAAACATGTTTATTTGAAGGCCTGTCAATATTAAGAAACTGATTAAATCGGTGCCAAAATGTGCTACATCATTATTGTCATATTTACAAGATAAATTTTATAGATATTTACCATCTCATTGATAGTGATGAGTGTGAGAGACACCGTGATGACCACTCTCTCTGCCGGACGCTGGTCAACCGAGTAGTTAGTGAGAAGGAGTGACCGAAGGGTTGTCTCTACGTCTTTAGAGTAGGCCAGTGGAGGTTTGGCCGCGGACGTGTGAAGATAACACAACACCAACACTAAAACAGTAACAGGTCACTTAGTTCAAACAAACAGTATTTATTCAATATTCAAACATGTTAATTACAGACACGTTATTACACAGGGATTGGAAAACAACCTTAAAGCTTATATAAATTCCTCTCCCAAATCATTTAATACCATTATTTGTGGAACAGTGTAAAAGTGAATATAGGTCAAAAGTAACTAGAAATAGTAAGTAACCTATTACAAAATGTTGTTTCTAGATGTTGATACGAGAAACATAAATTGAAATATGGCAAAATTTTATTATACGTATACCTTCATAACGTTAACATTTTACAATTTTTTCTCCAACAGATAACGTTTTTCTAAATAAGCATTTCCTGTAAACATTGCCGGAATAAACTCCAGCTACAAAGTTACAGACAATCTTGGTTGTAAAAAACATTAAAATTTATCCAATAAAGATATTAACTACACTGGGAATTTGTTATTCCTATGCATATGATACTCTGTCAGTTCAAAGCGATGCTAGTTCACTTCAAAGCAAGCAGATTGATGGTATAAAATACACGAACAAATCAAAATTATGGAATATGATTTGGAAGGAATAATTCATTTATTAAGAAACAATAAAGTATGTAAAAATTATACACAAAATTAAGGGATGTGTTTTAGAACCAATAAAAATTGAGATTAAATTGTACATACGAATTATAAACTCAAATAGAAATAATTGAATCGTGCAACGTACGTACATGTATGTATCATATTTGTTTTGCTTTCATATACATTGTACTATACATTTGGTGCATACCAGGTTTGGAATACTCCATGTGTCATTGTTGAGATATGAAGCTTATCCTTAAAGAAAATACAACAATTTGACATAAACACAAAAAGTCAATATTGACATAACACACGGTTGGTGTTTAATCATTTATTGGGACAAGAAATAACTACATGGCATTTGTTGTTAAAATAAGGACCGTTAACCCTTTCAACCCTATGTAACTTTAGTAGACTATACCATGCATTGATCTGGATGAGTTCATTATGGTCTACAGTGGTAAAAGGGTTAAGGTACAATGTATATAATGAGAAAATCAATGACTCGTAGAGTCCAGTTCTAGACGTTGAAAGCATTAACAATTCTAATAATCACATAGAGATTTTTACACAGTCATTAATGAAAAATAGGAAAATATTTATGCATGTATAATATACATGAAGCTGCCAAGTGTGGTGCATGGAATTCACTTTGATATACCAATTGTTGTATAGCTAGGTGGAACCTGTTTCACTACCTCAGCAGTTCTTATATACATTTCCTTCGATGCAGCATGACAAATAGTTGCAGTATTATGATGTTACCTTATTTATGATCAATCCAATAAATATGCACACAATTTGACCCCACTTTTTACTTTCTTATGAAACGACAGGTCCATCATCCCGTCGTGCCGAAACATCTCTTTTTATGTATTGTTTTTTCATGCTACGATCTTGAATACTTTACTTCAATGAACAACCGTGTTCGCGGATTTATGTATTTTCATTTACTTTAAATGTTTCATCATAGCTATCATTCGGCTTCAAACTAGCAAAAGGAACATGCCCTAATATGAAAAATAATAGTGAAAACAAATTTATTCAAATTGTGTATAATTTTATTGATTTATATTTGTGTCTTGATAAGATAGTGGATTGCCTCGACATTTTGACAAATCTCATTGTCCGAACTATCGTTAATATTCCTTTGCTTATGGGGATCATTCTGTTTCGGCTTCATAAGGATCGGATTCATTGGAACAGGTGACACATTTCATTGATTGCACCAGTACTGCCGTCGTTACTTCTCTGCTGATTTGTCTTTCCTTAGCCTTTACATATCCGAAGTAATATGCATCAAACGAAAAAATGTTTGTTCTGATTCGGTGCCCCTTCCCCCTATATTGGAGCATAATGTCTTCATTTCACATAATATATATTTTAAGGGTAATCAGTACCTGTAAACTAGACATTCTAAAAATCCTGACGACAGTGCTATCGAATTTTACCTAGATTTATGATCATGATCTTCGCCATCTGTATTTAGCTTGCATTAAAATCTCGCCTCTCTAAAGTTTTAAATAAGTGATGGTTTGTAATGTACCTAGTTAAACATATCCGTTCAAGTGCCGTGTTTTAATAGAAATATATAATACAAACGATTTAGTGTTTACACGCGCTCTGGGGAGATCATTTAAGTGTTTATCATAAGGCATGGAAATATCAAAATTGGGTCATGTACCTAACAACAAGGCATTATGATTTTAAACTAGCTGAAGTGCAATATTTGAAGTACACGTTGATCCAATTATTAAGATAAGGTATCACTTCGCTCTTGAGTAAACATATGTGTTTTTGGAAGGACTTAAATTCGGTTTTTCACTTACGGCGTAACTGATACAAACTACTGTGTACACACTTCTACCCTATCTAGACAGTCACCGACTAACAAAACAGTCTCAACACAAAACATAAAGGAAATGTTGAACGAGAATTGTGTTTACCGTTCATGTATAGCGTACCTGGGACAGTAAGCTGACCACGGTTATTGACATACACTAGCCTGCAAAACAAGATATCAGGGTCATTTATGAATAAGACGTAAGTCACGATTTTGGAATTAATATTTTTTAGATTAAGCTTAAAATCTAAATTAAATCGTGATAGAACATCAAGACTAAAACAAAATCTTTGAGAATGTATTAAATGGAACTGTGTTTCATATCATCAATAACGTTTCATTTCAATCATAATATTAACGTTAATTTTTTTCTATGTATTCTTTTCCGGTTTATGATATTTTATAAAATCTGCTTTACCAAATGGTGAAACAGACTTTTCGCGGGAAATAACGTCGTGTATTTCATTGTTACCAGTTCCGACCGGAGACGAACGTCAATCGGAAATAATTCGAGAATGTCCGTCATAGTTTGAATTTGACGTTACTGTAACAGTATGGCGAAAAGACTCGAATAATTCCCGACGGCCAAACCATTCACGTGTATTAGCTCTTTCTGTTATTGGTACATGTACATAACAACATCCTTTGTCAGTAGACTTAGCTAAGTGCTATACAAAAATGTAAACATTTACCTTTACATGAACATATATTATGAAAATGGATTATTTCACAAAATAAATCTTATTTTACAAGTAAACATCTATCTACTGACTTTTGATATTTGGTTTTAGTCTAAGACTGTTTCGTGATCCTGTGAATAGGTTGCCTAAGCAATCGATGTGAAAATTATTTATCATTTAACTGTAGATACATTAAGAAGATATGTTTTACAGGGTATCATAGATTGTACACTAACGAGTTGAAAATGCTTGCTTTGTTCAGTAAACATGCCATTGTATTTGAAACAGTTTAGATCTTTGAAGTATGACACGAGCGATCATTAAGTTAAAAACAAGGAGTAAAATTATAAAGATGAAAAAAGAAGGAGCAAGAAAATCACTGAAAATAAGGTGAAATGTACCTTTGATGTATGACCTACCTGTCAATTGTATTGCACATTTAGACAACAGGACTTTTATCGTGGTTATTACTCGTTTTACAGTCAACAAGATAAAAGGACCCGACTGTATCATGGTTATTTAATAACATAATTTCTTTTAAAGATTTGAACACATTTTACAGTTATTAAAATTCAAGACCGGGGTGCTTTATGGTTATAACATGTTTTACAAGAACAGTTAATTCAATCACACGATTTGGTTGAATCAAGATACATTAGTTTGATTATAAATTGTGGTTCAATGCGAGGAAGTAATATGCATATGTTCATAGCTGTTCAAAATGCAAACCATCCTCAAATGCCACGTAATTTATAATCAACGTCTACGGATGACGTACACGCACAATCATTGCGCCAATACATTTAATAAAGACAATTAATAGACATGTCATTTAAACCATAATATTTTCAAATGTTTACACCTAGTAAACTCACACTTACATATTTATCCTCACTGAACAATTTGTATATTAAGTATCTCTCAATCTTTTAAAGGCGAAAACATATGATTTACAGAAAACAAATTCTTATACAGCTACATGTATACCATAGGCGAGTCACGTAAATGCTTGGTTTGATTATAAATTAATTAATCAATAAAGCAAGTTGATTATCGATCTTTTATAATGAAATACGTTGAATGTATTTGACATGTGATCATTTCAGATGTGTACACACTAATTATTCTTGTAATAATCAATCCAAGATACCTCATTATTTAACAATAACATTAATGCCTTACGTTTAATGATTGACAATTGATTTCTTAGTCCTTCAGTTCATTGTATTATTTAAGTCGTTGGTATTACACTTTCCCCTCTCTAGTACCGTATGCTATGCAAATACACAAATATCTTTTACGAGGTACATACATTTCGCGTCAATGCCCGAATAGTTTAAATAAGACATTCAAGTATAATGCGAAACTGAAGTAAGACACATTTGAGCGCAATTGCTGCTTTCTGGAATGTAAATAAATACATGTTCCTGTAAAAAAGAAATTGGAAACAAAGATTTTTGTTGTATACTCCTCTAATTGCACTACCTGTACATAGTGTATCTAAAAGAAATAATGTTGGTATGCACCGTCGTGGTCTTCATGTATCCTTTATATATCGTGTCTCAATCCATGTAGTTCTTTATTAGAACCAATTTTAGTTTAGATAAATATGTATATTATGTACAAATGATTAAAAATGGCCCCTGATGAACTTTGGTAAGAGGTCACTTTATGAAAGACAATTAAAACTATGGTATTGGTAACTTCTATAGTTTCGAAGAATTTCTGAGTTTCCCATTAATAGTACCAGTGAAAGAAAACAATTCTAAACTATTTCCTTTTCGATTTAAAAATCAAGAAGATATACTCGTTAATTTAAGGTAATGATAAACCATTTACCGCCGATAAGTTTACAGCCAGTCGATATATGCTATACTACGTCACTGTACCCAAAACGGAACAC